TGTTTCGTTTTTGCCCACGGTGGAATGCTTTGGTTCGATTATACACCAACTCAACTCTCCTACGTCACGCCGCGGTGGTGGCGCGCCGGACGCACTTCCGGTCTGGGGCGGTGGGCAGAAGTCGCCGTGCCAGACATGCATTCCTGTGTTCCTTTGGAAGAAACGAGACAAAAGACCTGCCTTCTCGTCAAAATGCTGCGATGGGGGCTTTACCAAGACAGTCTGGAAAGGTTTGAAGATCAGTTTTCATGTGTTTTTGCACCCTCCGTTCGTCCGAGAACGTGAATAGTAGCCATGAAAAAGGCAAACCAGATGCTGTCGAACTACGATTGCGTGTACGGGCCACAATTTGTGGTCGCCAGATGTATTCGCTTTGTTCTAACGATTGAGAGAAAACCCCCAAGTTGTCCGGACCACCCACGGGTTCAGTGCGTCTTCAAATTCACACGGCCGCCTGATCGTTCGAACTTTCGTCTGCTCTTTCAAAGTTGTCTGCTTTTTGTCGTCTGCTCGTTCAAACAAAAGCGGCCCGTAGACCAAACTTTGACCCGGTGATTGCAATAAGAAGTAATTGCAGGCCTCAAAAGGCTTACGTAGGCTCGGTGTAAACAGTAGATACAAGATGTTAATTATTGGTACCGGTGGCTATCACCTACTTGTTACGCTTGGTCTGTTCCCGCTTCCGATTTTCAGTATCGACGTCGATCATCGCCGCTACCTTTTACACTTTTGCAGCACGAGCGACGTCGCGACCGAAAATAGCTACAAGAATCTCTTCATGGTTTTGGCGTCCATTTCTACAGCGTTCATGCGAATGAATCGCCGCACGTCAAATTATCTACGGAAAGTTTAGTGGCGTAACGAGCCTTGATAATTTCGCTCAGGCGATTCAAGTGGTAAGACATTGCGATGAGGACGTAGAATCGACAACTCCAACGCGAAAAAGAGTATGCGGACTCACACAGACGCCTACAACGTGACATTCGAATGGTTTGTTGACGCGGGACGTGGTGCTTCTTGCCCGTACTCCATTGCGCGTGTGTTCGAACTGTTGTCTGCTCTTTCAAACTTGGCTGCTTTTTGTCGTCAGCTCGTTCAAACGACAGCGGCCCGTAAACCAAACGTTGACCCGGTAATTGCGATAAGAACTAAGTGCAGGCCTCAAAACACCTTTGAAGGTTGGTTGGGGTAAGTCGGCTAAGTGTAAACAGATACAAAAAGTTGTTGATCCTTGTTACCAGTGGCCATCACCGACTTGTAATGCCCGATTCTACTTGCGGTTTTCAGTATCGATGTCCACCATCTCAGCTACGGTCCGCGCTTTTGCAGTCCGAGCGACGTCGCGACTTAAAATAGCGAGCAGAATCTTATCGTGGGAGTCGGGCTTTAGCGCCCATTCTGCGGCGTCCACGTGAAATGAATCGCCGCACGTCACATTATTCACGCAAAGTTTTGCCTCGATAGTTTTGCTGAAGCCGCTCAAGTAGTCAGACATTGTTAGGAGGACGTAGAATCAACAATTCCAACGCGAAAAAGAACACGGGGACTCCCACCGACGCCGACAACAACGCAATTCAATGGTTTGTTTATGGGCGACGGCGGGCTTCTTGCCCACCATCCACCGCGCATGCGCGGCGCCGGTGGCGTCCGCTAGGGGCGCTCCGGTTTGTTTGTAAACATGAGTTGGTGTATAGGTCGACCCCCCGCTTCAGATTTTCAAAAATTAAAAAAGGGTCGACCTACATTCGTGTAAATACGGTACTCTATAGATATACGCGCGATATCCAGCAGGTGCTCAGACGACACGCCAGCTCGATTGACATACGCGATGCCCGGTGGATACCCAGCCGACGCTTCAAGTACTCTATGGATATACGGGCGATATCTGGCAGGTACTCTGACGACTCAATTGACCTTGGATTAACACACAATGTCCGGCATGCACTCAGCCAACGCTGCTAGTACTCTATAGATATACTCGGCATCCGGTGGGTACTCAGCCTGACGGTGGCGGTACCCCAGTGATATTCTGCTCGCACTGTCCCGCTTTTGAAACAATATTTTCTAGACATCGTGTGGATGGGAAGAACCGTATATTCTGAGTATTTGCCAACAATATTGTGTAGATACTCGCCTAATATTCTTGTGCCGCTTGGGTAGGCAATGACATAAAAAAACACGCCCGCTTCACAAGCGGTAAACCCAGGATTGAATCCTGCAAACATCGCGGCAGCAAGCCGTCTCTTTCGAGCATCTGGCGATTTCGACAACGGAGGCCCTACGCACTGGTGGGAAGAGCCCTTAACCACTATCGCCGCAATAGAGCTATAAAAACTCTCATCTCCATTTGTGTGCCCACAGAGGTGCAATTCTGCCTGCTGTTCATGCCGCGTGGTATGTGCTTTTGTTACCTCGTGTTACTGCACGTGCGGCCAACAGTCGCCGCGCTCAACTTAACATTCGTGCAATCGAACGAGCGAGCATCCGTCCGGAATTCCAAAGATGTGCTTCCTCGAGGAACTCGTGAGCAAGACGCACTTACACGGAGTGCCGGCAAACTGAGCATCGGTGCTGGACGACGTGCAAAAAGCGGAGGTAATTAAAACTAACCCTTCGAGGGCTTCTAACGTGCGTGCACAGCAGCCGGAAGCGTGTTGCAAGGTCACGACGGTAAGTTAACGGTGGCGACTACGCATTCGAAAGTTCCCGCCCAAACGTGCAACTGCACGCACCTAGGGAGGTGCTACCATCTGTAGGGTCTTCGGGGAACCATGGATTCTTCATTCGCACCACGTTGAGCTTCGCCACAGCAATTTACGCTTCCCAAGTGAACTGCTCCGGCTGTAGTGGCAACCGGAGCGCCAACTCTTTCGACTCACACTTCCAATGCTTCTCGGAATTTAATTGGGAGGATGGGAGCTCCTCACCCATAAAGCACCTCCAGTTTGGAGTCTGAAAGTGCCAGAACGTCGTGAAAGAGAATGGAAAGGGGACTTATCGAAAATGAAACCGAAAGAGAAAAAAGGCATTAACTTTTCTCACTCAATACAGTTGAACCTCGATGTAACGAAGTCGGTAAAATTCACAATTTACTTCGTTACATTGAAATTTCGCTAAATCAAAATTTGGCTTTAGCATGCGAAAAAAAATTCCGAAACATTTTACGGGTATGAAAACTCACCGAAAATGACATTTATTTAGGGGCGAAGTAGTCCGCGAGTTTTGCTTGCGCCTTGTCCGACAGTAGCAGCGGCGTCATACGGCGTTCGAGTGCCCAGAGCGCTTGCACGGCATCCTGCTGCCCATGCGACGCCGTGTACCTCCTCAGTACGTCCATTGCGTCGAGCACTTCCCGAGTGCTCGTGATCTCGGCAGTTTCTTCAGGATGGCGTCCAAAACGTTTGCTTTCTCATCCAAAGAAAGAACTTTACGTTTCCTTATGGCAGCAAGCACGTAAGTGAACCGCCCGGTTAAAAAATAAAGCTGTTTAGTTTAGGCAGTTTAGGCGGTGCCAATGTTTCCAACCTACACAGCACTCTTCACCGCACAGTTTACTTGCCCCCTTGCCACCCTTGCGCCCACAGTGATGCTTGCGCCGCTTGCGCCCACGCTCGCAAGACGATAATCGGTCTTTTCGGTCTTCTCCTAGATGGCACTGCCCGTGCGGTCGCGCCATCACGTCGCTCCCCCGCTGAAGTTGGCTCCCGCGCTACCCGCGGTGCAGTGGAGTGGACTATGGTTATCAGTGAATGTCAGTGGTGATGCTGGTATGCCGTGTTAACTTTTTGCTCGGCATTTTCTGGCCAACCTCGCGGAATCCGCTTTGCCGCATGCCTCGCCGGTGCTACCGGCGCCGCATCGTCGGGCAGCCTGGGAACGTTGGAAGGCCTGTCCCCGTTAAGTAACCTATCAAGCGCTCGCGTTTGCGCATAATTTTTTTTTTTAACCACAATTTTTTTGCGAAGTTGTTTTTTAGAGTTGATTTATTTATTGCCTTCTATGGCAATGGCACTTCGTTATAGACTTAGACTTCGTTATATAGAGACTAAAAATACATGGGGTCTATGGGCAAGAAATTATGAAAAATAAAATACTTCGTTAAATCGAAGATTTCGTTACATTGAAGTTCGTTATATCGAGGTTCGACTGTATTTCCATTCGATGCTTCTCGATCTTGACAGCTTGGAAGCCCTCTATGTGCTCCCATTTGACGATTAAAAAAAAAAAATGCGCATCGACTTACTTTTTTTTATTGGGGCCCTGCCCGTCTTTAGGGGGGAAAAAAGCTCAACCGTGAATGGGTTGAGTGTGGCTTATGCGGGATACTTTCAGAATGCGCAAAGATGATGACAGATGCTGCAATAAAAGGAAGCTCAAAACTTTCAGCCTTTCCACTCTGGTAAAGAAGGAAGACCAGCGAAGCTGTACTATGGTGGGACGACCTCAATGACGCCGCCTAGAGGATGATGTCTGGGACGACCTCAAGGACGATGCCTAGACGTTAAGGACGACCTCAAGGATGACGTCTAGGACAACCTCAAGGACGACTTCTAGGACAAACTCGAGGACAACCTCAAGGACGACCTCAAGAACGACTTCTGGGACGACCTCAAGGACGACTTCTAGGACGACGTCTAGGACGACCTCAAGGACGACTTCTAGGACGACGTCTAGGACGACCTCAACGATGACTTCTAGGACAACCTCTCAGACAACCTCGAGGACGACGTCTAGGACGACCTCAAGAGAGACTTCTAGGACGACGCCTAGAAAAATTCAGCCTTTCCACTCTGTAAAAAAACAAGAGTGGAAAGGCTGGAAAGGTTGCCGTGATCTATGAGCGACAGAGGCAACCAGACAACCGGTAAGCCGGATGTCATCGTCGCTCATAGATGGCGGTAGCTGTCCAGAGTTTTGTGTCGAGATTTATTTGTCCACGGACACGAAACTGGGGAAACTAGCCCTTAACAGCTCCGCTGCAAAAGCGGTTCCCCCCTCACCGGTGACCGGGTTGGAAGGCCGGCCACTCCCGTCGTCCGTGCCGTCCAGCTGGGACGGGCTGTAGGGCTGGTCGCCTTCCGAGTCGCTGGACGAGGAACTGGACCCGCTCCTCGGCGCCGGCCTGCCCTTGATGGGGCCTCTGAGCTCAGGCGCGTCGAGGCACTCGCTGCCCAGGTTGAACACCTGCAAAGGAGGCCAACCAAGCAGACCTTGGTGAAAGGTCCTTTTGAAGTCTGGTTTCTCGAGCCTTCCTGTCTCGGTGACTACCTATTTATCCTAAATGACAGCCCCTCAATGCCAAGGCCCCTCTGGGCCTTGGCATTGAGGCGATGAAGCAGCGCAGAAGCCTACAACCGGTACTAAATAGCGTTTGGCAGATATTTATGCATCGATCAATGGCTCAGATCTACTAAAAAAAGTACTTAAACAGGGGGGTTACTTTACTCGGGGGCAGGAGTACTTGAGAAAATTTGGGAGCTTGGCCCCTAAGGGGAACATCCTGGTTCCTAAGAACCCCGTTTTAGAACCCTCGGTTAGAAAGAAGGTGGTGCTAGCGGGGGTGTATGTGCGCTAGACCGTACAATGAAATTATACAAGAACAGCGATTGAAGAAGACGTCATGTGGATGACATTGGAAAGAGCACCAGAGGCAGTCAGGCGTCATTCGGTGCGGTGGGTGTCGTCTACGAGACTACCTTTTCGAGCGGAACAGACTGTCAGGCAAACTGGTTGGTGAAGGTTTGAAGGGGCGAGAGAAACGAAATCCTTACCAAATGGAAGCTCGGCAATATACAGCAGTAGGTGAGACGCCCGTCCCACTTTTAAAAGATGCAACGATTTTGATGCGAAATTGCCTACAAATGACCTGGGAGCTCGCAGGAGCTCCCAGGCCATTCATGAGTGTAATTTCGGGTTTTTGAGAACACTCAGCACCCGTACATTGAGTTATCACCCTAAAAAGAATGTCTCAAAATCTACTTAAGTGCCCCTTTAACACATTCTGTGTTAAAACCAAATGTAACTGCAGCGCAAGGTTGAGTTTTAATGTAGAAAAAAACTGATGCATAATGGCACTTGGGCATATTTATGTGAACCATAACACAAATGCAAAAACATATACGAGCAGATAGAAAAATCATGCGTGAAGGTGGATCACTGGCAAAGCTGTTTAGCGCACGACACAGACCCCCCACCCCAAGGGACCGGAGGAAACTAGACATGTGCAACAGGACCGCCACCCAGCAGAAAGTAGACATGCGCGACAGGACCGCCACCCCGGGAGAGTGGAAGGAAACTAGGCACGCAAGCACTTGGAACAACAACAAAGAGAGGGAGGTGCGAGCGTAGACATGGCTGAAGTGGGTCGCACAGCAGCAAATCTTTGAGAAACCTTTATTATCTACCTGAGAGTCTACTGATCTTGAAAATGGCACATATTAATAACTAATCTACTGTATAGACCTAGTGCTAAATTACCCAAGCATCAAGAAGAATGCAAGGAATGGTGTTCCACACGCCGCACGTGCCGGCATCTGCAGCAGTAACTGTTCTAAAGCAAAAGCCTAAAACAAATGGCACCTTGCACTCTCGTTCGTCAACGGTTTATTTTGGGTATTTACTTTGAATCTTTTACACGAGGAAGGAATGCGCGTGCAGCAGTGCAAGCATAGAGTTTTTAGTCACTGCACACGAAAAATCCAAGGAACCCTAGCCATAAACAGCTTTGCTGTAAAAGGAAAACAAGCCAAAAGCGGGCTCACTTTTGCATAAGTTAAGCCAGATTGCGAATGTACCTTTCTCAATTGGCTGGACATCCCTCCCAGAAAGAAGTACCGCAATTGTGCATGGAAGATGTCTCCCACTAATGTGATTAACCAGTCCTCGCCTGTGGTCCCTCAATTTCCGCCCGACGCCTCCACAGAACTGTCACGCCGTTGCCCGCCAGAATTGTGGTGGTGGCACTGGAGCGGAGGTATGATTCCGTGTTTTCGGAGTTAATTTTTCGTCAAATTCGGAGAGTGTTTTTCCAAGTTTATTTTTGCCGAAAATTCGAAGCTTATCGGAGCTTATTTTTGTTTGATTCCCTATTCTCCAAAATTCATAGCTTAATTTTGCAGTGTTCTTTATTAAAAATAAATAATAAATAAGTTATATCCGGGTGTAAATGTGCGCTAGATAAAAAAAATAAAATGTGCTTGTGTTAATATTATTTCGTCAGATGGATTTGGCATTTGTGCCACTGCCATGGGCAATACTAATTTGTTGCGCGACAAAAGTTGTACGCAAGTGTTGCCTCGATAAACGCCAATACCTTAAAATTATTGAACTCGTGGAGGTACCGTATTTACTCGCAGAATGAACGCACTTTTTTTTCCGAAAAATCTATGCAAAGTTAGGGGGGGCGTTCATTAAGCGAAGTAAAATTTTTGCGTCCGTATTTACTCGCATAATGAACGGACCTTTCATCCTGAAAGATCGAAGTAACTTCTTATCTCTTTTCGCGCGGCGCCCGATCCCGTAACCAAACTAAGCTGTACAAAAAACAAAAAAAAAATCCTCTTCGTTTTCTTTTTCTTAGTTCCTTGTTTCTTTTTTTTTTTTTTTTTTTTGCCGCCTTTCGCAAGTTGTTTTGTCTGCTTAGGCAAGGGCTCTCCGCTTATCTTTCTTATTTCCTTGCGCGCGACGCACGACACCCATAACCGAACTGCGCTGTGCAAAAGAAAAAAAAGCTCTTTTTCTTTTGTTTTCAGTTCGACACCCATAACCGAACTGCGCTGTGCAAAAGAAAAAAAAAAAGCTCTTTTTCTTTTGTTTTTAGTTCCCTGTTTTTTTGTTTTTTTTTTTTACTTGCAGCTTTTCGCAAGCTGTTTCGTTTGCTTAGAGGGCTTCTCTGCTCCTCTTTCTTACCTCCTTGCGCGTGGCGCACGACCCCGGTAACCAAACTGCGCTGTGCAAAGAAAAAAAAAAACATTTTTCTTTTCTTTTAGTTGTGTTTTTTTTTTTTTTTTTTTGGCCGCCTTTCGCGAGCTGTTTTGTTCGCTTAGAGCGCTTCTCCGCTTCTCTTTCTTACCTCCTTGCGCGCGGCGGCCCGCGAACCCAAAGTCCAAACTGCGCTGTGCAAAAAAAAAAAAAAAAGCAAAAAAAAGCCTTCTCTTTATGTTTTGTTTCTTGCTTCCGTTAGATCTTTGCGATATTTTTTAACGCCTTTGGCAAGGCGCTTTGTTCGCCCACGCTGCCCATGCATTCGCGACCTCGCTGCACCAGGATAGCAAAGTGCGTTCATTTCGCGCTCGTGGGGGGAGGGGGTCAAAATTTTGACGTCCGAGTTGGGGGTGCGTTTATTACGCGAGTGAAAAAAAAAGTCGAAATTTTGAGAGCCGACTTGGGGGGTGCGTTCATTACGCGAGTGCGTTCATTGTGCGAGTAAATACGGTAGTTGTGGGAAGCTGGTATTCATCCCATTCAATCAACCTACATTGTGGCTGTGGGAGGGGGAGTGGTGAAGGATGTAATAGAGAAGTTTCAACTGCCCCTCTTCCCCATCTTATGCAAACTTTATGGTGCATAGCTTTCACTGCTACAAAAATACAAGCCCTCTTTCCTCTAAAGGTCCTGTCACACTAAGGCAACAGTTGGACAACCCTATCCGACAATGCAAGGAAATTGTGTTGCTGGCAGCCCTGTCACATCGCGGCAACAACAGTCGGGCAACATGTGGCTGCCGCCCGGCAACCGTGTTTTCCGGTTTGTTGTCTGACAATCCTGTCACGCCGCGCTGACGGCGGGGACAACACGGGGAACACTCCGCCATGTTGATTATTTACCTTCGTCCGTGTGCGGCACGGCGTCGCTGGAAATGTGACTCTACAAAGTGCTAGTGCGTTTGAAGAGCCGGAAATTATCACGAGATGACATCAACCATTGACTGTGATTAGAAAACTTGACACGGGGAGTATTTTCCAGCTTTTATTTTATCAAAATGTTCTTCATTCACCGACAAAGCAGAGAGCCCTAACCGAGGAAAACCTTATGAGGTGTTTCTGTCCGTTTCTTTCCTTCATGCAATTCCTATTTCTACTATGAAATTGAGTTAGCACAGACAGTACCCCAAAGCGTCTTTTGTAGCGTGGTGTTGAGATGAACTGACAGTGCTTAAAAACTACGACACCCCCCACACGATCGGCCTTCATTAAAATCGGCGGAATAAAAATTTTTCAACGCTGTCTATTTGCCTATTGCCTGCTATGTAATCGCCTCATTCACCAAAATGTCCGGGAATTTTTTAACAAATCCTGGTAGCGGCTGTTTTCAAGTTCCAAGCATCAATGATCATGATTAGAGTGGTCGTTTTAATCCTTCGATATTTTAATGTTTGCTTTCTTGGATTATTTTTTTATACTTTATCAGGTGAGTAGGCGTGCCATTTTATTCAACTAGCAGTAATATGAGCTGGTCTCTCGGCAGTTCTAATTTCAACTCCAGTCTGAACGTTCACGACCACATACCTGTGACCATTTCGACAATCGCTTTCCGTAATTACGCAGTAAAAACATTCATCAAATTATTTCAGCTGCACGCCAGCCTAAATAATTGTTAAATAACATTTTAAAAGCCTTTATTTGAGTAAGACGTTATTGATACGGAACTAGGTAGGCCATCGAAGCTATCTCTGTTGTCGTGTTGCCGGCCCGAAATTCACTCAGCCAGTGATCAGGACAACACACATTGTCCAACACAAGTTGCTGCTGTTTTTGTTGCCGAAAGCTGTCATATTGAGGCAACAATTTAGTAGTCGTCCATGTCGTCCAGCTGTTGCCGCGATGTGACATGTTTGTCAGACAACACGAGGAGCGAGCAACAAGGTGCCCGACTGTTGGACAACGTGTTGTGTTCCTGTTGCCGTTGTGTTGCCTCAGTGTGACAGGGCCTTAAGAAGCACATATAGTATGGCCCAAACTGGACACCAAAACAGCGGCTTTTGTCATGACCCGAAAGTAGAATGACCTGTTGACCCGAATGAACCTTGACGAGATAAGCAGTAAGACCCCTTCTGACAATGGTGCGAGGTTTGACAGATAACTGGGGTGGCATTCTTCCAGGGCCATTGACCCTCTGTGGTGATAAACTTAATTGTAAAATAAGGTCATTTTTTTTCTCTGCTTTTTTTAATGCTGGGGGGGCATCGGCACATCAAAACTAGAGTTTATTGGATAAATTTAAATTTACCGAAATTTGACTGGCAAGTGTGTTTCCGAGTTTTCCGGATCTATCCGAAAACACGGAACCCTAAATATGGCAGACACTCGTGCTGCGGGTTACTCTTCAGCTTTACAGTCCACGAAAACTTCAGCAGCCACAAGTTGGGCCGTTGCAATCCGACACCATTCGCGATGCGCGGGCACTACGGGACGCCAAACACGTCAATCGAAAATGTGTTCGGGGCACCGCAGGTACTGCCCCTTTCTGACCTGGGACATCTCCCTCGTCGTCTGCTCTTCCTCGTCCTCCTCCTCCTCGTCCTCCACAATCGGCTGCTGTTGCCCACTACCGCCGCTCCGCTGGGAGCAGCGCACGCTCAGCACGCTGTCCGCGTCCCGGGACAGCTCCAGGTCGGCCCAGGACTCGTTGGCCGTCACCCTGGCCAGCATCTCGGCCAGGGACAGGTCCTGGCTGTCCACTAGTATGCACCCAAGCAAGGAGAAAAAAAGAATAGAGGCTCATACTTCTTACGAGCAAATTTTTTCAAATTCACCGTGCTGTTTTCAACGTGGCAGGAAGATGTCTGCCTTGACAAGAAGCAATGCAGTAGAGCTTTTCTACGTTCAAACTGGTATATGTTGTGAAAAATCTTGGAGGACACTTAAGCTTCGCCTTTAAGAGTGGAAAGCGATAGCGTTATTGGGCCCCGTTCACATCGCCTTCTCATTCGCTCTTCATGCTCTTCCTGCCAGTGAGCAAGAGCTGCGGCAGACATGGCCCAGTCAGTAGCGTGTCTGACTCGTAACCAAAGGGTCATGGGTCTGAATCCCTCCTAAAATTCTTCAAATTTTCCAATATATTCTTTAAGGCGAATGAATTACTTTATAAAGTGAAATCATTTGAGACATGCGGCGACCTATAATTCACATTACATGTCATGCTTTTTAATCACTTTCATTCCACGCGCGACGTCACGTTTCATGTGAGCGTTGTGGATTGTTTGAAAGTCCAGCGCGAGGTCATGTGGCTGTGGCGTCATGACCCTATCGACCAATGAGGATTTTTCCCAACACAACGCCACCAACGCCGGTTTTTCTGAGACAAAAGCTCCGTAACGCCATTGCATTAATATAGGTAGTATAGCAAAGTAAAGTTGACCTATTCTTGTAACACTATTACTACACACATTTCAAGCACCGGCAAATGATGACGTTTCCCTCGAAAAGTACCGTATTTATTCGAATATAGGTCGACCTTTTTTTTTTTCGGAAATGTCGTCAAAAATTAAGGGTCGACCTATAATCGCGACCAAAAAATTTCGACCTAATTCGCGACCAAAATTTGAAACCCTACAGAGGATATGGAGCTATCAATCACCTAGCCGGCGTGGCGGTAGAGCCGCGCGGCTTTTTGTTTCAAAAAGCTTTTGATGCACAAAAACAACCGAACAGCAGCAGCCGACAGCCCGTGTCCACCGCCGGCTACGGCTCTCGCGCACATTCCCTCGGCGTCGGGTTTCGCCATCATGCCTGTAGCGTTCCCCTCGCTGGGCAAGGGGAGAGAGAGGAACGCGATGCGCCATGCACTTTGCCCTCCTATGCGCTCCATTCCTCTCCCTCGCAAACGCGCACAAAAAAAAACAAAAAAAAAACGGAGGTACTTTAGTTTGTTTTTTCCGGCGGGTCGTGTGTTGCTCACGGGGCGACGGGGCTCGCAGCGTTGCTCGTGTCTTTGTATTTGGTCTTTCGTTGCTCGCCCGTCTCCACCTTCTTTCGTTTCTTCTTGTCGTCATTTTACAACGGTGTCAGTGAGGTATTGTTGCCAATTTGTGAGGATGTCTACCAAGCTGACGAAGCTTCGGACGACGATATGTCCGGAAGTTCTGACGATGAACAAGTTTTTGATATCGCCCTGTGATTTAGCTGAGAGTGCTGTAAATAAAGGTTTGTTTCTTTTGCCCTAACTTTCCCCTGTTCCTTAAAAAAAAAAAGAAAAGAAAGGTCGACCTATATTTGAATTATTTTTTTTATTCTCGGTGGGCTCAATAAATAGGGGTCGACCTATTTTCGTGGTCGACCTATTTTCGGATAAATACGGTATACCAAGTTTTGGACTCTAATAAAACAAAAAATAAATTAGTATAAGGGTACCCCAATTAAAGACGTCCTGGTAACAGCCATTGAACTCAAGATGAAGAACGTTAAAACCTCCATAAGGTGGACTCTGGGACATGAAGGGATTAAGGGAAATGAGATCGCCAACGCTGCAGCCAGGGAGCTTCATCGTTCAAACCTCTGCTGCAGTGGCCTGACGACTTCCCACCCTTTGCCAGGTAAAAAACCACCGGAGAACAGGAAAACCCCAGGCCTGGCATCTACGACCCAATAAGAGCCATCGATGTCGCCAAGAATACGATCAAGAAAAGGCTCGCACACAAGAAGAAAGAAGCAGAATATGGAATGCCATCGTGGTATGAAACGGTTTGTCTAAGAAAGCTTCAAGCAGGATTAGCGATCACTCCGTCAGTCCTCAAGAGTTGGGAAGACAAGAAGCTTGCAAAAATCCAGATTTTGTTCCGGAGCCGTATTAGTGCAAATACTGTAAGGAGCACACTCCTGCCGACATCCAACACTTCATGTGGGAGTGTAAACAGCACGATGAGGCAAGACATGCAACACTCGAACAACCCAAACCACAAGACCTACCACCCAAGCTTCAAGATTGGCTCAACCCGGTTGGGGAGACTGCGAGAAGAAAAATCATCCTGAACAGTGTCCTCACCTACCTAAAGAAGACCGGCCTGGGAGACGACATATAATTAATTCTACCCCAATAGCCCAACATCCCTAACCCCTCTGGCCCTACCTTTGTGTAACTGCCAGTTGTATTTTTGCCCAATAAATGTTTCTCATATATACATACATACCAAGAGTCTAATATTGCATTATACTTCCAATATCTAAAACAGGGGTTCTCAAACTGGGTTCCGCGAGCTGGTCTCATGGGTTCCGCGAGGATTGAAACTGCAGTGCCCCCTGCCCCCCTAGTTTAACCTTCTAAGAACTGAGCCATGGATCAAGCTCGTGTTGCAGGCCCAAAGCACCCTCACCTTTCGTACTAATATATTTTACATTGTGCCCCAGGTCAACCCCTCTGCCTTATTCTGTCTGTAGTCCCCCATTTTATGTGTTTCTCTCAATGCAGTAAACTCTTGCTCACTATCTAAATGCCTTTATTGCCCCGTATATTCGGTTGCCAACAAAAGGAGGGGGGGGTGGGTCCTTGGGACTTTCTGAGGCTTGCTGGGGTTCCCTGGCACGAAAAAGTTTGAGAACCCTTGATCTAAAATACACTTTTAAGCAATGCACCAGGGGCTTGTATGAACCTGAGCCGCTGACCCAGCCTGGCCACCATTGTGTACAGCATATGCATGAAAGCATATTAAATGCATATGAGGTGCTTTTTATCCCGTTTTGCACATACTGGGATGTAGCCTCAATGGCGTCACGGTGTCTTGTGACACAGTGACGTCAAAGGTGCTCCGAATCAGTGTTGGGTAAGGTACATCTAAGAAATACTTGAAGCAAAAATACAGTGATGGAAAGTGCCAATAAAGTCACAGGAGGGCTGCTGTCTCGAGCTACACATGCGTCATGCTGGTGGCAAGAGGAACAATGCAAGCCAGTTGCTGGCTGGATGCGAGATTAGCAGCTATCAACATCTAGCTATCTGGCCTTGCTATGTTTCATAGTGCGAATGATTTAAAATAGGTTAGCACTATCAAACATAGCCAAGGTCGGACCGCCAGATGTTGATGGCCGCTAATCTTGCAATTGGACGGCGTCCGACTCGCGTGGTTCCTCTCTCCGCCAGCATGACGTGCGCATGTAGCTCGAGACCGCACGCTCCGGTGGCTTAGTTGGTTCTTTCCACGACTGTACAAAGTGATTGATAAGTGATTTTCTGAAAATTTCAATGGGAAAATGGCGGCCGACAAAGTTTTAAAACACATGGGGCTCTATGGCACCAGAAACCGAAAACGAGCAAAAATGGGCTCCATTTTCAAATTGAAATTTTCTGAAAATAACTTATAACTTTTGATTAAGTTATCGGATCGGGCTGAAACTTTGGCATCTGGTTGTGACCTCTAGCTCTACCTTTGGGCAGAGAATGAGCGTTCGGCGATGCCTAGTTTATTTTTGCGGTAAAAAAGACAGTGTAAATTTTCTTTTGACACCCTGTACAAGAAAAAAATACTTCAAGTAAGGTACTAGTACATATTCAGAGAATGTAGTTCAAGTAAAATGCAAGTATGGTATTCTAAACTTCCTTGAAATAATACTTTCCAGCACTGCTCTAAATGCATAGCATTTATTGGTCTTCTGCGAAGTCATGCGACAGTGTGGCGTGACACCATGACGTGACCTTGTGACGTCACATCCCATGACCACATCCCATCACGTGACACCGTGACGTCACATTATTGCAAACAATCCTAAAAGCTAAAACGAAAAAAATAAAAAATAAACGGCAGTGAGCACACGAATTAGTGATTGACCGAGTTCGGCACCTGCCAAAAATTCGGCACATGCCAAAAGTTTGGTACATGCCAAAAGTTTGGCACATGCCAAAAATTCGGTATATGGCAAACTTTTGAAGGAAAGTTCGGCAAAGATTTGGCAAAATGCGCCAAACGTCTGCGCACGCGCGAGAACGCAAAGGGGATATGGATTGCAAATGGATGCCGTGCAGTAGTGCGGTCACCATGATACCATCGTACAGTGTCGGTAGTACTACCAGAGGTTACGGCGAGGTGAGGGGAGTAGGCGACATGGTAACTGTGTGTTTGTCAGCCTTTGTTAGTGCGGTTCTTTGCAATATTTTGTGCCTCAAGAACAGAAGATTGACGAGGAATTGACACAGTACACTGCGCAAGTGACAAATGATGTGGTACATTCTGGATAATGTGATCTTCATTTGATATTTCCAGTAATGCATCGAGGCAGTTGAAACATTGAGTGACAAGTACTTTAAAGCATTCCTTGCCATTATAGCAATTCTGTCTTCGGCTCGGAAGTAGTTTGCACCAAAACAAAATAATATTGCTTTCTAACTAGCGTTATCTCGTGGTTTCCATCTACCCGCATAAAACTGAACACAGAACTATGATGCTCGACATTGCGCATCCGACGTTCCTAACTCTTCCCATCATCCCAAACGTCAGCGTGTGACCTAATATCAGAAACAGGCATTTTACAAGTTAAAAACGAGATGTTGCGAATATGGGACGCATACTTTCATGCAAAGCTGGCGTCAAGTGACCGAAATTGAGAAACATGCATATTTACAATAATATTGTTAAATCTTCTGGTGAAAGCTCAGCAGCTGTAGCATTATTTTCGTGCACAAAACGGTAACTCACAGAGAAAGTAAGAACATGGTGTTACCTTCTTTATATAAAAAATGCACACTTGCAGATTTGCGCTGATGAAGCCTCAAAACCGAAACTTGCATATCGTGACTGCGCCCGCTACCCTGCTACTACTCAACTTTGTCGTCACACTACTTCTGCATGAAGTCGCTGCAAGATTGCCAGTAAACACACAAAAATGACACAGATACAATTATGCTGTGGAATATCACCTTATTTAGTAATAACTGTCTCAATATTCATTACAAAAGACCTAACAACTCTTTTTTGACTTAAAACGAAAGAAACACACAAGAGGACAAAACAGACGACACGCAAGCTGTGTCGTCTGTTTCGTCCTCTTGTGCATTTTTTTTTCTCGTTTTAAGTCAATTTAGATCACCAACAAGCTCAAGTTCTTTAATCAACAACTCTTATCGCCCGTAAAAACGAAATATCAACTTTTAGGTCTGGCAACAATGTATGTATGCCGAATCTTTGCCAAACCTTTAAAAAAGTTGGAAAAAAAGCAGTATTTTCGATTCGGCAAAAGTTCAGCCCATCACTGGTGTGAATGTACAGTCAAAGACAAAAGTCCCCAGGACACGCGAGCTGCAACTGAACCGCATTGCTCTGCCATCTGCCAGCGGGTCGCCTGGTTTCGAGATCACACAAAAGCGTATGCGCGTCCTACTGTGCCTGCAAACATGTGTGTTTTTCCGCTTTTCTGCGGCGCGGCGCCTAACTCGGAATCGGGCGCAAGGTATCGCCTCGGAGATATCGCTTGCGGCTGACGAGCATCCGCTACACATTCCGAAACTGGAGATAGCGCCTGCGGCATTGCGCCGCATTTCGCCGTGTCAGCGCATCTTGCTTTATAACCAGCTGAGCTTATCGCTCAGTTGAGCAGCCGTGACTCCTTGCTTCATAGGTGCCATGTCAGTAATCGCTATCTCCCAGGCGGTACCACGTGCCCGATTCCGAGTTAGGCGCCACGACGCAGAAAAGCAACACATGCTTGCAGGCACAGTAGGACGGGCATGCGCTTTTGTGTGATCTCGAAACCAAGCAACCCGCCGGCAGATGGCAGAGCGATGCGTTTCAGTCGCAGCTCGCGCGTCCTGGGGACTTTTGCCCCCAACTGTACGACTGTACATACAAAGCGCGGCATCCCATATCTCCCATCTGAAAGCGGCGGAGCCTTTTGCGGCTGCCACAGTCGTGTGCTAGGCGGTGCGAGCCGAACTGCACTCCACGCCGGCTGAACAGTTCCCGAGTGTGGTGGCGAGGTTCCGGAGGGAGTTTGTGGAGAACCTGTTTGGCGTCACGTGCGCCGTGTGCGACCGACTCTGGTTCGCCGGGGACGTATCCACGATCGGCGGCGTGTCGGAGGTGAAGAAGCGGGAATCGGGTGCGTTGCGGCAGTGTATCGAGTGCAGCTCCGCTGGTCTTCCTTCTCCACGAGAGTGGAAAAGCTGAACGTTTTTTAAACATCTTTCACCATTGTACGTCTAGGACCTTTTTGTTTTCCGTTAATCTTCGTTTATTAAGACCTTTCACAGTCAAAACTTTATGCGTCGCTTCTCAAGTGCGCAACGACGGTTCATTTCGGTCATATTTCCAGATTCTTCATCATGTTTCAGGGAGCGAAATTGTTTGTGATCGAACAGAGGACGCATTATTTTACACGTCATTTGGCGATCGTATCGATTGTATCCAAACTGATTGGAGAAGCAGAACGGTTCCATAAAGCACTCTAATGACTCATTTCCAGTTATTAGTAAAAATATTTGATGCGATAGCTTGTCTCACTATAACATTACAATTATAAGAATAATTTTGTTGCACTCTCTCTTATGTGTATCATATTCAAACATGTCTTCTGCCAGAGCTCTTGGCAGGAATGTTGTAAAACAAAAAGTACAACAAGGATGCTTGGTTAAGATTTTCTTGAGAGTAAAGTAAATTGGTAAAAGAATAATTGGACACCTGTGCTTAGCACAGAAAATGACAGTAGGTGCTAGAATTCAGTCTATACTGAACGATAAATGATACAAGATGTTTTAAGAACTTAGCACACACTGCTGCTGAACCCATTAGTAAAGGACGAGTGCGGGGAAATGATGGGCCAAACACACTCACGGATTTGGGAAGCAGAATCGCCGACGGCTGATAGAACTCCCGAATTGGGAGTTCTCCGACCTAGTGGAGGTAAAAGCAGACAAAGAGAAAAGGGCAATCTTATCCAGAGGAAGCTGGGGATGCGAGCAAATCCCGAAGAAATCACGTACCAGCTGCATGCTTGAAAGGAGATGCTTGTAATGGGCTGCAAAGAGCAAAATGTATAGTTTAGTACTTCTGTTTAATGCCAAATGCACTTTAGGACTTGTTTTCATGGGTAAAGCATCACGAAGAGTTGTTGCACAAATGCGATAACATGGCCAGGTGCCCTTACAGAAAACACTCTGGGTCTCGCCAAGAATTGAACAGCAGACCTTTCACTCCGTAGGGCAATGTTCTATGGCTGCGCCAGCGGAGAGGCTTGGATGAGCATTATTATAGCTGCTACGTATTCGTGATGCCACAAAACATTTGCCGCCCCAATGTCGCAAGGGGTTGTGAATGTCACATGAACAAGCAATCCCTAGAAGTTACATTGCGTGATCATATATGGGTGACACATTCCACAATACAGAAGTGACCACTATAGATGTCATGCGATCCAGCAGTGTATGTAATCATGTCACATACAGTGTAGACCGCATATAACGTATGTCTCGGGAGTCGCGAAAATCCGCACTATAAGCGGTACCGCGCTATTACCAAAACATCAATTTTTCAGGCCAAAATACACGCCATGAGACAACTTACCTTTGTAAAACAATTTATTTTATGTTAGATGAAAAATAGAGCTTAGTTTAAGGACAGTCTTTATTTCACCAGACTAGTACAGTTCTGTCTCAAGTGTGCCACACATTTTGAAAGAAATGAGCGGCTTTTGCCTGGCGCAGCCTTTTAACGGCGCCACGGGTTGCGGACGGACATTGCGAGCGTTCAGGATTGCTAACCCTAATCCCTTTTCTCCGGAGATGAAAACGCGTGAAAATTTGCATCCTTCCTACGGTACGCGCCAGTAATACCTTGAACTTGAGCAGACGCATGAAATGCGCCAAATAAGAAATCCGGGCGATGTTCGAGGACACAAATGCTTAGAAAGCACCACTGTAGTCGAAGTAAACAAACACGACGACACGGGCGTTTCTGCCGTCTTGAAAGCGCCGCCACGGCATCGCCGCACGAGTAGGTGGATCTTCCCTTCTACTACGTGCTGGGTTATCATAGCGACACACAACAAAAATTCACAGTCAAGGATAGCGCTTTTATGCAGAACGAGGAGATGAACGCCGTCTACGACGACGATCACAACCGACGCTATGTTTGCGGATAGAAGCAGCCGGCCCGCGACCGGCATGCAACGCGCGCGAACACTTCTCCTCGACCTGCGATTGGTCTGTCGTTGCGGTTTGTTTCTTTGTTTCCAACGCAGCGGAGGAGCGGAGGGACGCACGCACGTGAACGACACGTGCGTGCGTCCCTCCGTCGCTACAGCAACTGCAGCCTCTCTCACCGCTTCTCCCCACGAGTGCCCCTTGCGGCTCGCGCCGTCAGCGCCGTTATCTACTGTCGCACGGGGAAGCATGCTCGCTGCTCCGGTCGTCGGCGCGGTCGACGGGCTGTGCCAAAAACCGCACTATAACCGGTATTTCCCTTCGCGCGCCTGCATTTTAAGCGGTATGTAATTACATGGAGTTCTATGGGAGGTGAACCGGTGGTTTAAAAAAACCGCGTTATACCCGGTCCTGCACTATAAGCGGTTACGTTGTAAGTGGTCTATACTGTAACTCCATGTGGTCCGATGAACATCTCATGTAACTTCATGCGACGTCATGGTTACATGAGCATGTTACGTGACTTCGCATCAAGTCAGACAGGCAGCTGCTTATAGAAGAAAAATCGAAATCACCCCACCAGAAAGCTAAATGATTCAAATTGTGATTTAATACGAAAAATTTGCAACTTACCTCGATTTTTAGCATAAAGTTTAAACATGCAGAATGTGTTCTGTGTGACTTTGCCTCTCAAGCAAGTCTGCCCAAGGCTAAGACGCACGCATTGCACCCCGCATCTCTCAACTCCAAAGAATCAAGGTAAGCTGCAATTTTTAATGTAATTAAGTCTTTTACACAATCTCAGATATTGATTTGATACCTCAACCCTTTTTTCCAAACCCTTTTTTTCAAAAGGCAGGTTACAACTAAATTTCCTGTAAACTGAAGGTAAAGCCATTTAAAAAAACAACCTCCGAGATACCCTCACCCTCTACAAAATCATCCTATACTTGCAGAAATCCTCTCCACTACAACTAATTGGACGATCACCCATCCAGTCTTGGTTCATCACTTTCGTGTCGTTTTACATGCTGCATTGCCGGTCGCCCATGTACGTTTTGGGGTTCAATAGAGCACATGCCACACGTTTTGTTCTTAAATGCGACACAGAATTACCAAAAAACAGTAATGGCGCGGGTAAGCTAGTGTAAATTTACTATTTCCTTAAACCTTGAGTCTCTAAAACTTTGTCTTGATGAAACAAATTACACCGACTTTACAAAATAAATATAACAACTTAATCGGACGTTTTGTCTCCCACACAGGAGACATCATCAGTGAAGCCAAGAAGCAGGAATGAGAGAAATGCCAACCAGAAATCCTATTTAAGGAGGTCTGCATACACTTCGGGAAGGGGGCTGCGGTTTAGTTGCAACCCGATGAATCACTCCGGATGCACCATGACCCCGTGTTTGCGCAACAAGGTCGACGAATTCTCGAAGTCAAAACCGTGACCCGTTGTCCAACAAAGGTCAACCAGCTTAAAATTATCGCCATCGGCTCATTTAGCTGATGGTGATACCTTCAAATGGGAGTACATATGTCAATGTGAGATGACACAATGCTGTCGTGTAGTGTCTGTATACGAGAGTGGTGTAGGTACATATGATGAACGAACGTCAAAACAAATGCCTTGTAGGGCAAAAAGGAACGTAGAAATTAACTCTGCTAAGAGGCTGAGAAAAATCAACTACGTATACCATTCACAACCCTGCGCAAAAATACTAAATCGGGGGCAGTTCTGCTTGATAAAAACTTCAACGAAAATTGTGCTAGTAAATTTTCATAATTAAGATGAGAATACTGTCTCTGGACGGGGGCCCAGCTCTGGACGGAAGTCATTTCATTGTTTGTTATATCGAACACCCTACCGGCAATGCTTTTCCGAGAATCCCTGCCGTCTTGCAGGTAAAAATTTTCGACCTCTGAACGTTTCTTACCCAACTGAATATTAAACAACGGTTCAATAGGCCATTCTCGAGTTGAGCATGAATTAAATACCAAAACCCATTTAATACTTAAAATTTTGAACACTTGCGCACCCCTACATTCGGCACTTGCTTCAAGTATCTAATTAATTTGTGTACAACTAGCTTCAATGTCAATACATCTTCTTATTACCTTTGTTCACAAACATTTCTCTCTAGATTGAAACAAACTAGAACTGTTTGAACTGCTAGATATAAACTTGGTCAACGACAATTACTACTTGCTTCAAATTCAAATGCAACCTGGAATTCCCTTCTCCCAAGCACCGGGTTACTAGACGAGTTGGAGAAGGCAAAAGGTTTACCTATCAGTAGACTGTGCAGCCCTCAAAAGTTTGTCCAACTTCCTGATGTAGAACAGCTCACTGTCGGTCTTCATCACACCCAGGCGATCTGTGGTACACACAGACAATCAGTCAATCAAAGCAGTCGTGCTAACAAGAAAAACCGTTAGTGCAGCAAAATGCTGCATGGACAATGGCCATATAATACATAAAAGCAGGTATGCAAAACTCTCGGAGCAAGCAAAACAATATTGATCATTGAAAAAAAAAATTTTTTTTCCTGGTTTCAACTTTACTATTAAGCTTAATATCCTCAAATCTTGAAAACAAAAAAGAAAACAAAAAAACAGTGGTGGAATGATAAGAATGGTATGATTCTTTGCAAGATTGCCAAATGGGTTTCCAACATTTTTTTTGCTAAACAGGTCTTATTTCCTTCCAAACCAAAAGCTCCATAAAATAACAACCAGCCTTTCTTTAGCCGTGTACAAAAAGGCCATCCCAGCTGGCCCCTGAAGAGGCTAGACAACAATTTCTGACGCATACTCGTCCAGTTTTTAGCACACTCACAATTCTCCATACGACCTAACGCCCTTTGACACACCATAGCTCAGGCACGTAGGCAGGGGGGAGGCCCATGGGGCCCGGGTCCCCCCTCCCCCCCCCCCCGAAATCTTTCATTATGCTGGGACCTCCTTTCCCCCCTCCCCCTCACACAGCAGTTTGTCATGGGCGGGCACCCCTCGAAACAAAATCCTGGCTACGTGCCTGCCATAGCTCATAATAGTGGTCTGCACAGGTATGGGCCAGCCCGTGGGCCGGGCTTGGGCTTCATGGCTACATTCATGAAGGACCCCGGTCGGGCATGGGCCTTAGATTCAAGTCTACAAGGCGAGACGAGACGAGCTAAACCGTCAGTTACTTTTTTTCTTTTTTTTAATGCGAAAGCATTAACTGTCTCATGGAGCGAGCCGACGTCATCAGCTTTGAAACCGTGCGAAACGGCAGCTTAAATCCTTTCTCCAAGTCAAGCCAGATGAAACCACGTGCAAAGCTAGCCAATGGCACCGTTTACACTTCAGTCCCATTGGCTGGCGCGCAGCGACGAGGCTCTCGTTTGCCGGACATGCAGTGCCATGGGGTGGCCAATCGTTGAAACTGATGCTGTGCGTCAGTTTCAACGACCAACCACACCATGACGCTGCGTGTTTGTCAGCACGGCAACATGCGGAGAGGAAGTATGATGTACATGCTTTCGCATTCACAACTCATAAGAAGTGCTTAGGTGTACCTCGAGCATTTTTTTTTTTTTGCAGCAAAAGCAGCAATATTCATTTTAGGTTTTTTTTGGAGGTTGAGCGGGGGACCATAGTGTGGGAGACCCAAATGCTGAAAGCATGCGTAAGTTTGTATATGTTTCTGCATGGTTCAGGGTGCGTGCAGCAAATACTCTTCTAGAGCACTAGCGGCGCGGCATTCATTTTCATCACCGGCATGACCGTTGTCGTACAGTCAGTTCTCCCCATCAACACACACACTTTCACAATGCACACCCCCGCAGGCAGAAACCATCTGTACGTAAGAGTGCATGCACTCCCATATGGAGAAGAAGTTCCCCCTGGAGGGTGCTTTTTCTAAACAATTTCTGGCAGACCTCCGCAAGAGACGGCGGTATTTTTTTATAACTTTTCTTTAGTTGTACGGAGCGGGGGAGTGGGCAATTTAGAACTTTGTCCATCATTTGTCCGATCCTGTCACGACGTTTCCTTTGTTTTTCAACCTTTACACATGGTCTTGTTTACTGCTGCTTGCCATGTAAATTTTTTTGTCCTTTCTGATACGCAGGTTTGGCCGCAAAAGAGGATGATGGGGGTGATTTTTCTTAATAAGCTGCTTAAGCCCGCAGATTAATCCGACTAATAATAGCAGCAAAAAAAAGAATGCTTACTCCATTGACTATCGGGTACCGTAGTCAACATGTATATCAGCAACGAGCTAACTAGGGCTCTAGTCTGGCACTTGGCGAAAAAGTCGGTGAGAAATCCGACAGCTATGATTGGTCGGTGCCATGGTCAAGTGCGGCATTGGCCAATCACAGCCGCCGGATTTCTCGCTGTTTTATTTGCCACGTGTCCAAATTAGGGCCCCACCATGCCAAGCAATCTGTGAGCTATTCATGCCAGGCGAAAATAGAGCGAGCGGGCCTCAGCGGGCCCATGAAAATCACCGTCGGGCCGGGCTGGCTGTCGGAGATGAATAGCAGGCAGCGGGCCGGGCTCCTAAATATCGGCCCAAGCAGACCTCCAGCTCACGACACTGGCAGCACACTCAACTAACAACAACTGGCCCAGCTAACTCTCTGAAAGGTAACTCTCTGAGTTACCTCTCATATATTTTGGTATTTTGGAGCCCGGCCCAGCCCGGTCCACTGGGCCAGGCCAGCCCGGTATGGCAGATATTTAGGAGCCCGGCCCAGCCCAGTCCCCTGCCTCTTGGACCCGGGCCCACCTGCAACTCGCTACCCGTTTCCAACAGCCGGCTCAGCCCGACGCCAATTTTCACGGGCCTGCTGAGGCCCACTCTATTTTCACTCAGTATGAATAGCGCACAAATTGTGCAGCACCGGTACCTTGCTTGCCACTGCTACACATGTTGACTACATTACCCAACGCAGTAAGCACCTTTTTTTTCTCCGCTATTATTAGTCAGCAAGAAATCCGTGGGCCTAGGTAGCACGTTAAAAGTTGTCCTTTTTTGCAACCAAACCAGCATATCAAAAAGGATGGAAAAATAAAAATGGCAAGCAAACGGAAACATAACAGTGTGCCAAAGTTGAAAAGGAAGGGAAACGTTGCTAGGGGTTCGAACAAAAGACGGGCAAGGATCTAAATTGCCCACTCCAACTGTGCACAACCTAAAAAAAATTTATAAAAAAATACCCCCCTCTCTTGCGGTGACCACCAAGAAATTAATTAGGGAACGCACCCCTAAGGGGAACTTCTTCACCCTTATTGTGGATGCATGCACCCATACCTACAGGCAGTTTACGCCTGCGAGGTTGCGCATTGCGTAGGTGCGTATGCGTGTGTGTTGTTTTGAAGAAATGACAGTACAACAGTGCCGCCGGCGACGAAAATCAATGCTGCGCCGCTGGTGCTTGAAACAGCATACGGTACACACACGCGCCGAAACGTACAAACACATTACAAACACACGCCATGCTTTCAGCATTTGGGTTTCCCCCCCACTGTGGTCTTTCCCCCCAATTCTCTGAAACAAGAATTGAAAAATATAGCTGCTGCTTAAAAAAATAAGTAAAAAAGCTATGGCAGTAGGGTGATTCCACGTCAATTCATGCAATGATGGTTCGGGTCATAATTTAAATATTTTTGTTAAAACTATATATGAAAGCCATGTTTTTGGGAGGAACATTCAGCTAGATATGAACGCCGTAACAATTTTTTTCGCTGAGATATAAAATAGAGAAGCTTGAGGCGTGGAAATTGAGAAGATTTCACAATGCTACTTTGCACAGTCGTCATTTCCTTATCGAACCTTTCACGGCACCATAACTTTTTTAATAGGTTTTACAAAGGTTATACAATACATACATAAAAAATTAAAAATATCAATAAAATATTTCTATGCAAACAAAAATATCAAACATGGTATAAAAACGCGTTTTAGAGACATATTCACAATTTTTTTGCAAATAAACCATCTTTCATAATACTTCACAAAACATATCAAAATACGGGTATTTAAATATTCTTTACGGATATGTAAAAATTATATGCCCACCCTTAATTGTCTTCTTGTTATTAACGCGGAAATGCGGCTGATTTCTCAAAATGTGGCAAGATTGGGCGTCGATATTTCAAAAACTCCATCTTTTATTTTTTTTTAACTCCCCGTGGCACTTTACAGTGACTTGAACTAACCTGTGACGGCAAAAGATTGAGTAACATATGACCTCCAAGCGGGAAAAGCTACGACAAACCTTCACTCGGAGCGAGCCGACGTCTTCGTCAAGGCGGCTTTGCCGCACAGCACCAAACGTTTTGAGCGTTAGTTATGGCATGTATTTTATATTATTAAAATTCTCTTTTTTTTATAAGGGCTGAGTATTAGTGACGCGAAAATGGACTTTGAGCTGGAATACCATTAATTAGCTTACAATTCACAGGAACAAAACGGCCCCACTGTGCAAATTCGCTAACTATGCATAGATGAACTTAAAACTCTCAGTTATGCGAGTGGCCATGTATACATCCGGCCTCTCGGCATATGATGACTTCCACAGATGAGACGCTTGGATTCCTCTCACAGGTTTTATGGTGGTCCACTCTACTCGCTTTACCTCACGAAACTCTCGAACCCGTTCCACAGACAGGTGGAACATGCAGACATTTGTTACTTTTTTACGTAGCACTTCCACAAAGTCTTTAGCGGTGGCAATCGTAGAGTCGAGCGAAGATCTCAACTTGGTGAGCGTTGGTTCTTCCACCTACTTCATCACAAGCGCTTTCTCCGTGTCCAGTGGCTGAAAAGATCAATCTTGCCGAAGAGTGCGGCTTCCGAGAAAATTCGTGGAATTGGAAGCGATTCTTGAAATGCGCCGCCGCTCCGTCTGATACAAAAATTATTTCAAAAAAGACTGGGAAATGAACATTAACATACCCTTCTATGGCCTCTATGGGTAGAAGAGCGTGAGCTGTGTCATGTGTCGTGTACCATCGGTGACAACGGCAAAGCTTTGCGTGCCTTGCGTGGATGTAACCACACTTGTGGAGAGAGACACGAGTTTTCTTTCAATGAAAACTCTGCACTTCGGTTGCAAAGAGTACTGTCCATTTTTCCGCAAAATCGAAGTGGAACATCACTGCCTTGGGTGGTAAGGCGGTTCTTGTGTCATGTATCAGGCTTCGTTCAAGGTCAAGGATGTATGAATGCCTCATATAATTTTCGCTCTCCTATTGCCGCAGGAAGGCAGAAGTGTCCATAACCTTTTTGACGAGTTCGCCAGCGTCCCATAACGCGAGACAGATCTCTTCGTCTTTGTCGAGATGAAGCGACTGCAGCGAGATGCTCTGCGTTTTTGGGCACTTTTCGCAACGGCGCAGAAAGCAATCGTTCTGTGGAGCACAGAAGAGGTAAATGCGCTTGAGGTCGTCTTCAGTAAATGTCTTCCTTGGGGCATTATTTATTGCCGTTAAAAGCAACTGAAAATTGACGCAATATATGCATGCGCACACCTCGTGCTCGGGACTTTTTGTTTACCCATTTTGGTCGTAAGGAATAAAATTTGGAGATGCCTAGTTCGGGATGGGGATGGTCCTTCCTAAACAGCTGGTAAGCTTCCTTAATAGAGCGGGTCATAAACCTTTTTACGACTTTGAACATGTCGTTGATCAAGGCCTTGACGACGTCCTTTTTGTTGGGGCTTTGAACAGAGCATGCGAGGTCGTCGAGTGTGTAGTACTCAATTGCAACCCTCACGTCTTCGGCATTCGCCTTTTTCCCCATGTAGGGATCAGGGGTTGCCCAAACACCACCTTTGCGCTGTTTTCATGTTTGATCAATCATGTAGGCAGTCGCTTCCGACACCAGACACAATATTTTTTTCTTCAGGATGATTGGTGGCAGAAGCACGTACAATCGCTTCTGTTCCTGGTGGGAACTACATGCCTTCAGCACTTCGCAAAACGCGTCAAACCACTCTGCGCAGTGCTCACAATTGTCTTCGAGTTCGAGAGTTTCGTGCGGTGAAGCAAGCAAAGTGGACCACCGTAAAACCTGCCAAAGGAATCCAGGAAACTCATCTGTGAAAGTCATCATATGCCGAGAGGCCAGATGTATACATGGCCATTCGCGCAACTGAGAGTTTTAAGCTTATGTATGATGCATAGGTAGCGAATTTGCAGAGTGGGGCCGTTTTATTCCTGTGAATTGTAAGCTAATTAATGGTATTCCAGCTCAAAGTTCCTTTTCACGTCACTAATACTCACCGCTTATAAAAAAATAATTTTAATAATACAAAATACATGCCATAACTAACGCTCAAAACGTTTGGTGCTGTGCGGCAAAGCCGCTATGACGAAGACGTCGGCTCGCTCCGAGTGAAGGTTTGTCGCAGCGTTTCCCGCTTGAAGGTCATATGTTACTCAATCTTTTGCCATCACAGGTTAGTTCAAGTCACTGCAGAGTGCCAAGGGGAGTTTAAAGAAAATAAAAGATGGAGTTTTTTAGATATCGACACCCAATCTTGCCACATTTTGAGAAATCAGCCGCATTTTCGCGTTGATAACAAAAATATATTTAAGGGTGGGCATATTATCTTTATATATTCGTAAAGAATATTTAAATACGCGCATTTTGATATGTTTTGTGAAGTATTATGAGAGATGGTTTATTCTCAAACAAATTGTGGATATGTCTCTAAATCGCGTTTTTGTGCCATGTTTGATATTTTTGTTTGCATAGACATTTTTTATTGATATTTTTAATTTTTTATGTATGTATTGTATAACCTTTGTAAAACCTATTAAAAAAGTTATGGTGCCGTGAAAGGTTCGATAGGGAAATGACGACTGTGCAAAGTAGCATTGTGAAATCTTCTCAATTTCCACGCCTCAAGCTTCTCTATTTTATATCTCAGCGAAAAAAATTATTACGGCGTTCATATCTAGCTGAATGTTCTTCCCAAGAACATGGCTTTCATATATATTTTTAACAAAAATATCTAAATTATGACCCGGACCACCATTGCATGAACTGACGTGGAATCACCCAGTATTGGTTTATTTTGGCCCGCTTTGTAGATTCAGATGCAAGGGCAATGCCTGGCCCAGGCCCTTCACGAATGTAACTGTGAAGCCCGACCCTGGCCCACGGGCTGGGCTGGGCCAAGCCGGGCCGAACCAGGCCGGGCCGGGCCGGGTTGGGTCAAGCCAGGCCGGCCCGTGGCCCGCAGGCTGGCCAGTATCTGTGCAGAGCTCTAGTGCACACTGACACCATCTATTGGGTTGCCCTGGAACACTTTCGATCTGTGTATTGACCACTCATTCACCATCTACTTAAAATTATTTTGACAATACTTTAAGAGAGCATTTCTTACTATGGTCGGTGACAGGTTAAGAGTTGAGGAAAAGGGAAAGCAAGGCTGGGGAGGAGGAAGCAGGTGGAATTCTGGAGAGAGGGGGACGTTTCCTCTCCTCTCCAGCAATCTGCTTCCTCCTACCCAGCCTTCCTTTCCCTCACCCTGAACTCTTAACCTGTCACCAACTATAGTGCATAAACCTGATCTCGCAATACTGAAATACCTTTACTCATGTTATTTGTGGATTAGAAGCTTTCCACAGTACCTGGAAGATGGTTACAACCGGTCGCAACGCACTCGATCACTCTGAACTGCTAACGTGCAAACCTGCCTTTTCCCTCCAAAACAAAAGCACACAAGTGTGCACATACAAGTATAAAAAGCACCCAAAGTGTTGGGTTCCCCCACGGCTCTCCCAAGAGGACAGTCCACCCACCGTGAGAGAGGGGTGCCACGAGGGTGGAGGCATCCCCTCGCCTCGCCCTCCTCTCCTCTTCGTCCCGCCACAGGGCGGACAGGCCTGGGTTCATTTCACCTGGAAGACAGAAAGGCTTTTGAGCTGCCATCGACTGACACAATAGAGAAGAGCCGCAGCCCTCAGATACACTCGGGGCCCTAATCTATGCGGCAGGACCGAGCGGGAACGAGGGACCGGGACGTTGCCGCCTGCTGCAATCGGTTGGCGGTGCGGAGCTGGCAAATCGTGGCGGGTGGCAGTGTCCTTGTCCCTCAGTACCGCTCGATCCTGCCATGTAGATTAGGACTCCGGGTGCGAAAACTCCCCAGTTTTACGCCCCAGGGAGTTTTTACGCCACGGGCAGCGTTAGTTGCAGTACGAGGTAAAAACACTTTTGTAAATCCAAACTGTCTTTTAGGGGCGAAGCTTCTTAAGGTAAACAGGATAACTGGGCGAGTTGGTATGGATTCATAATGGAACAGCGCGAATTTTCGCAAGGACAGAGGAAGGAACCTTCTTCTGTCCTTGCAAAAATTTGCGCTGTTCCATTATGACTCCTTAAGGTCTAGCCTTGTTCGTCCGGCGTCCATGCACACATCGACCTTGCTGGTACTTGTGCTCGTGAGCTCACGTGCTCGTGTAGGGAAAAAAACAAAAATTATTAAAAAGAAAACAAAAAAGAAATGTTTGTGCAGTCGACAGGATTCGAACATGTACGGGGAAACCCCAATGGATTTCTAGTCCATCGCCTTAACCACTCGGCCACGACTGTGGGACGAGTAGGGGGCTCTGAGATGTGGTAGTAACTCAAGAGCTGGGAATGTCATGGATGAAACGTTGCATGTAACCACTCAACGTCTATACAGGAGAGGGCACTGCGGTCAAATGCGTATATAATCGCTTTAAACTTTCCATGCATTGGCTAAACGTTTATAGACGTGAGGGCGCTGCAGTCAAATGCCCAAATACGTTTATAACCACGTTCCATACCACACATTCTCTTTCTGACATGGATGAAAATGAACGAAAGGCTCGGCATGCTGCGGCTCAGCGTCTACGCAGACAAGCACCACCAGAGCTTCGCCCCAATCAACATCTTTCACTACGTGAAGATGCGGTCATTTTTTAGCCTCATTACATCTCGAGGTTCTGTCTATAAAAGTCTGAGCACATGTTACTTGTGCATTTAGGCAGGAAGTACCTATATATGCAATTAAGGGTTATGAAATGGTGCTATGGGGAGAGCAAGTCATCTGCTTCTTGCGCAGTACTTGCGGTGACACCTGAATGACGCAGAGCTCCGACTGGCTTTCATTGAAAGGACAGTGGGTAGACCTCAATGCTAGATGCCTTGAGGTCTACCCACAATTTTTTCAATCAGCGAATAAGAGCTCGGCGTTCTGATGTCATCGCAGACCCTGTGCAAGAAGCAGATGATCTTGCGCTTTGCATAGACGACAGACATACTGTTCTGCAGCTTCAAGTTTTGAAATCAATTAGAACTGCTATGAAAGACATTTGTGACACCTTTGTCCGCATCCCTGGGATTGACGATGTCCTCCGAGGAGCAGTCAAGTTCGAGTTCGCATGTGGTCTGCTTCTGGACCTGCAGGTCAAGGAACATGTCCCTAGGAAAAGAATGAAAAAAAGCATGGAGCCCTCTGATTTCATAGACACAATGGCTCCCCAGCCAGAATGCCGAGGAACAGGAGCTACAAAGCCTACACTGCCCTTGATACAGAAGCAGAAATCCTCAGGTTGGGACGTGTACCAAAATATACTGTGGGGCCAGTTGGGTAAACGTCGCAAAACACAAATAGTACTACGGACAAGAATGACTAGGAAAAATGAACGGGACACAAATAACACTTCTCTCGTGAACTTGTTCTACCCGTCCTTGCTCGTAGTAGTGCTACTTAAGTTTCGCTATGGGACATACGGTCTAGCCCGATCACAACAACCCGCTTATAGAAAATATTCCCTGGTTCACTCATTCACGACTGAGGAACCGCGCACAAGTATGCATCACGAATTACTTCCGTTGGTGATCGGTGTAATTAAATGTCCCGGAACTCGTCACTCATTTGTTAGCTCAGTGCACATGCGCTGCCCAACGCAGCACTGCACGTAAGTAGTCCATTTAATGAGCTTTCTTCAATTCAGACTCCGTTTGATTCGAACAAATTTTTGGTCCCCTTCGAGTTCGGATTAACGAGATTCTATTGTATTACTGCTGAAAAATCGGTGAAATAAAAAGAAAACACATTTGGCTTACCTAATCACTTCATTTGGCCACAATAAGTGCCACAGTGACGCAAAATCTTATTTAAATGTGCATGCAGGGTATAGGAAAAGCACAACTTTTTATTTTTCATGATTTACTCAGGTGAGCCAATATTTCCACAATTTTAGTGAAAGCTTCCACCACCTTCGGGTACCTCTATGGCGAATCCTAGCGCGATGCACTAAGAACCCGATTTATGCAGACCGTCTAAAGTGGGATTGAAGCGTTAGTGTACAGTATAGACCACTTACAACGTAACCGCTTATAGTGCAGGACCGGGTATAACGCGGTTTTTTTAAACCACCGGTTCGCCTCCCATAGAACTCCATGTAATTACATACCGCTTAAAATGCAGGCGCGCGAAGGGAAATACCGGTTATAGTGCGGTTTCTGGCACAGCCCGCCGACAACGCCGACGACCGGAGCAGCGACCACGCTTCCCTGTGCGACACTAGATAACGGCGCGAGCCGCAAACAGCACTCGCGGGGCAAGGAGGTTGCTCGGAGAAGCGAAGAGAGAGGCTTCATTTGCCATAGCGACGGAAGGACGCACGCACGTGTCGTTCATGTGCGTGCGTTCCTCCGCTGCGTTGGAAACAAACAACCGAAACGACAGACCAATCGCAGGTCGAGAAGTGTTCGCGCGCGTTGCATGCCAATCGCGGGCCGGCGGCTTCTGTCCGCAAATATGGCGTCGGTTGTGGCGTTCATCTCATCGTTCCGCGTAAAAACGCTATTCTTGACAGTGAATTTTTGTTGTGTGTCGCTATGATAACCCAGCACGTACTAGAAGGGAAGATCCACCTATTCGTGCGGCGATGTGGCGGCGCTCTCAAGACGGCAGAAACGCTCGTGTCGACGTGTTTGTTTACTTCGGCTAAAGTGGTGCTTTCTAAGCATTTGTGTTTTCGAACATCGCCCGAATTTCTTATTTGGAGCATTTCATGCCTGTGCTCAAGTTCAAGGTATTTTTCTGGCGCGTACCGTATGAAGGATGCGAATTTTCACGCGTTTTCATCTCCGGAGAAAAATGATTAGGGTTAGCAATCCTGAACGCTCACAACGTCCGTCCGCAACCCGCGACGCCGTTAAAAGGCTGCGCCAGGCAAAAGCCGCTTATTTCTTTCAAAATGTGTGAAACACCTGAGAGAGATGTGTACTAGTCTGGTGAAATAAAGACTTTTCTCAAACTAAGCTTTATTTTTCATCTAACATAAAATAAATTCTTTTACAAAGGTAGGTTGTCTCATGGCATGTATTTTGGCCTGAAAAATTGATGTTTTGGTTATAACGTGGTACCGCTTATAGTGTGGATTTTCGCGACTCCCGCGACATACGTTATATGCGGTCTACACTGTACACGCTGTAGTTATGCGTTAGCGGGTGGTTTAGATCCGCTGAAATTATGCTCCAACCGGGGAAACCCTTTACTTTGTGCAAGGAATGACCAAGAAAACTTGGGGGCTCGGGGAACCCCTACAAGAGTGTCTTATTTTCCGGACTATAGTTTGAAGCTGGTGTATAGCCTGCAAGGCTATACACCAGCTTCAAACGTGTGCTGTGTATAGCCTGCAAGGCAATGTTTCAGCTGAAAGAAAAAATGTTTTTACATGGATAGTCCGCACCTTGTGTCTAGTATGTACGCAAACTTATGCTCGTACACAGCACACGTTTACAAATGCCCACTTTATTAGCTCACAAAGAAGCTTGAATCAGTCATAGATCATCATAATATACCCTGCCACTAACAAAATCCATCAGAAAAAATAAATTGTTGCATAGTTTACACCTGTAGATAGCCTGAATAGGGTAAAATTTCGGCTTTCAAGTGTGCATGATCTATGTAATGTATTCCAGTAACTATGGTACTTTGTGCAACCCCTGGGTCACTAGGAACTCTACTTGAGAACCCAAAAATTAAACAATACCTTCAGCCAGTTGAGAAGGCATTCGGCACCCACACAAGCAGAACACAATATGATTTCTACAACACTGAATCAGAGGAAGACAGTGGCTTACGGAGGCATATCCCGCAGCACCCAGACGTGCGTGTCAGATCTTGAGTTCCGGACTGGCAGTTTGGAGGAGTCCAGATCTAAGTTGGCCCGCCGAAACTTGAACTTCCCCACATTCACAAAGCTCATCCCGTGTAGGTTATGGTCAATAAGGAACTGCGGGAAGATGAAGCAATTGAGCACTATAGGTAATTTTTAGCATGATGACTGCTTATAGCCTACCAGCTGCTACTGCCACAACAGAAGTTCAACAAGAGAAAGCAAACACTACGGCCCTTTCGAGTACTTCAGTCATCATAGTGCAGCATATGGTGGTAGACCACATGGAGAAAAAAGCTCGTACCAGCGCACATAGCAACGTGACGTCAATGATGTCAAAGAGGAAACCTCTCTTTCTCTAGCGCATTTTCTTTGTCTTTAGAACTCGTGACTGCCAAATCAAGGAACATCATTCATTCAGCTTGTAATCCTCTCAGGCACATGGGACACATCTATATCTCAACTTTAGAGCACTTTATTGATATGAGGTGGTTAAACTGAGTGTCAAAACCATCTGGAAATAATTTAAGAAAGGTACCGTAAAATCCCGTAAGGACGCCCACCCAAAATGAAGAGATAAATGGTGAAAAACATGGGGTGGGCTATCTTCGGGGATGCCACAGTAAAACATCAAAAATTAATAAGCACCGGGGCACCGGCTACAAACCACATCCCCGGGAACTGATACCGCCGATCGCGGACACGGCGAAATCGTGTTTCACGATGCAATAAACACGCGGGAATTCGCTACAAACTCCTGTGTCACGGGAAAGGATACCGCAAGTGGCCGACGCAGTAGATTCACGTTTCGCGGTGCAAAGGACTCACGGAAGGTCGCCGAGGACTCGCATCTCATGGGAACAGATACCACAGATTGCAGACGCAGCAGATTCAAGTTTTTTGGTGCATTAAATACGCGGGAACCCGCTACGATCTTGCTTGTCACAGAAACCGATATCGCGCGCACAGATCACGGACAAAAACGCGGGAATACGCTACAAACTCGCATGTCACAGAAACAAATACCGCAGATAGCAGACGCAACAGAATCGCATTTCACGATGCAATATACACGTGGGAACAACTCGCGCGTGTTTCTTACAGCTAAAAATCGATATCGCGCGCGCAGATCGCGGACAAAAACACGGGAATCTGCTACAAACTCGAAAACGGCTATCGCAAATCGTGAACATAGCAGATTCGGATTTCACGATGCAATATACACGCGGGAACAACTAGCGTGTTACGTAAGCCGATATCGCGCACAGATCGCAGACAAAAACGCGGGAACCCGCTATGAATTCGCTTCTCGGACACACCGGTACCGCCGATCGTGCCGTTGATGCGCGATTCCCGTCGGACATCGCTTGACGTCCAACGGGAATCGTGGGGTGGGCAATGTCTCGGAATTTTTATGTTACAGATATTTAGCCAGAAAACCGGGATGGGCGATCTCTCGGGGGAGGGCACCCTTACGGGATTTTACAGTAAGTAGTTTTGACACAATCAATACAAGCAAATGCTGCTTGAATAAATAATGTTAAAGTTGCCACCTCGTATAGCCTACGTTTCTTCTAATCTTAGACCCTCTACTCCACCTAACATATTGTCAGTGCAGGCCAAGCTCATGTGGTTGATGGAGTATATCTTCCGACTTTTCCCACAGCTCGACAAACACAGGGCTTATCATGTTCAAGATTTTTGCTTCATGATTCGTCCTTCAGCATTCTTAACTACCAATGACGCTATCTCATTAACTGCCAAGCAATATAAGATGCTTGGGATTTGCTTTTATCACCGTCAGTCACTAGAGTGCCCTATTTATTTATCAAAAGATAATACAAACAAAATATATCTCAAAACCCTAGTAATCATGTGCGAATAGTGGATTTTGAGTTCAAAGCGAACAGTGGTTTTGGCCAAACATTTCCTAATCGGATATTGAATAATTTCTTCAAGCCTTTCGCCACTGCTGCACCATGCTTTAATGAAAACTCAGCTGAACTCAAGAAGGTCGTTCCCAAGCTTCCACTTGTCCATTTATAAGCGAATTTCAATCTTGCTATATTTATGGATCCAAAAGGTTCAATACCTTGAGATGGAGAGTAAACGATAAATTTAACATAAAATTAAACCTCCTGAGATACCCAGCTATATCTAATTGAGTGGATTAACCAATCATGCTATATGCAAATATCCTTTTTTCAATCTCAAACTTGAACAAAAAAATATATATATTATGGATGATGAACGCAGGTTGTCAGGAAATCTCTGCCTAACATACTCTGCATAACAGGCACAGTTTAATTTTGAGAATTTAACTTCAATGTAGATATCAACATTCACAAAGTTTTGGTTTCTTTTCAAAATACACCAGGCGTATGCGTCCACTATCCCACTTTGAAAGTATGCTTTTCTCCCAAGCACGCAATTGAAATATTCCTACATTTCCAAGTGTTGATCGCGTCAGGTTACCCCACTGAGCACTTCCTACCGAGCACCAGTGCATTGCAGAGAAGCAGCACCTACAAAACTCGTGGCCTCCACAGGTGCTGCTTCTCCATAGTGCACCCGTGCTTGGTGAGGAGCACACTCAGCAGGGCTAACCTGCCGCAATCAACACCTTGAAAAATATTAATACTGCAGTTCATCTCGAAGCGAATATTGAATAATGTATTTTTGAGAAATACTGTTCAAAATTTCGAATATTAGCACAACACTTCAAATAACCAAGCTCCATAGCAATGGGCTTTTTGAGAATAAATAGAGTTTTGAATAGAATCAAACTAGTAACGTTCAATCTTATGCGGTGTCCTGTTAAAACGACAGCAAAGTCCCAAAAGGCGCAGAGGAACCTGCCTGCAAAGCGAAAGGGATGTGGGCTTCGTGCGGCTGCATCACCTTCTTCAGCACCATGCCGGAGAGGAGAAGATCGGCAACCCTGGAGAATGAGGGGGACACATGCCTCACAAGCCGCAGCAGAACCCTCCAAAAACACTCGCTGCTTGCAACGCTACACGAACAAGCGAATGAAAACTCTGCAATGCTTTATAGCTTAATGAGGCAAGCAACACAGTTAGCCCCAAGCTTTGACACTCCATGTTGCTCGTATGGGCCAACATTAAGCGCCAGACATCAACATCACCAAAGTTTGTGGCTTTCGCACCTGTTGCAGTAGAAGATATGCAACGAAGCTCAAAGTTAATGATGTTGCGGCATCCAGTCGGCAATGAAATTAAGTTGTGACTACTAAACTTATTAGCTTCGAGAGACGACTCTGTGATTAAACCTACGGCATTTACGTTTGGAACGTTCGTTGGCGACTTCATTAAAATTAAGCGAGCTTGCTTGGAGTGTTGAAACCACTACACCAACCTTTAAGTGCTAGGTTTCCCCTTTAATGTGTTAAGTTCAAAGGGTGATAGTCTTCACTCCCCATGTGCAAGCCTTGAATGTACACGTACAGAAAGAAGAACGCTTACTTTGTATTTTTCGTGCCGGAATACATCACTCTTATCAGAAGAAGGCTAACACATAACAGACCATCATGATCGGACAACGTCTATGAGGGGCGCTAGCTTAAGTCGCAAAGGACGAGCAAAAACCGCAGTGCCTTTTCTGGCACCCGCACTCCACCAGTATGTGACCGACGTCCTTTCCCCTTTTCAAACACACAGCTCTGAAAACACAGTGACGTTCCCATAACACTGTAGTATCTAGCAAAACCACTTTGTCAAACTCAAGCAAAACGCGGACCAAATGACCTACTTCTTCACGGAGTACGGGTTGTAGAGGTAGATCTTCAAAAAGGTCCTTTCCTTGTTGTGAAAGCCATAGAGGGGCCTTAAAAGAAAGAAACAAAATTTAACACGTTAATTGACAGTCCAGTCGATTAAAAATCACGGTGCAAACGACTGTCTTCATATCCACGCAGAAAAAGCACAACACACAGCAGAAGAGAGAACAGAAAACGATGGAGGGTGCAATGACCCGCAGTAGGGATTGCTGGCCTAATGTTTGGAGAAAAAACATGAGCATAATGCTCAGCATAACCTACACGTCTGCCGCTGAACCTACAATTTAAGGTGTAACCTTCGTTTCTTGTTCAGAATGTGCACCAAGCTGCCCCAGGACTTGCTGTAAGCTGGCGCTTATGTGTCTGTTTGCACTCAAGCTGTCTGGAGGTTCACAATTACAGTAATTGCATTAGGACATCAGAAGTAAGGTATACTAATTATACAAAGGGTTTGGCATTTTCAGTTTAGGCCGATAAAAACCAATAAACATAGGCCGAAATCATTTTTCGAAATTAGGTTTTAACTGAACTACAGTCAGATTTTTGTAATAGTATATAGCACAACTGAGGCATTTTTCATTTTTATTTTTTGCTTGGGGTGGGGGGACGGCGATTGTCTCATGTGACCCGGTGACGCACTTCCTTATAGAGTTCTCAGCTATCTTCAAGATCCTCCTGCTTTATGCTATGGAAGATTCAATAATAAACTATTTTTAGGAGGTCAAACTTCACTTCGCTTTTGTGATTGGGCTTTGGGTGCCAAGTTCCCAGTCCTTTGGAAATAGTGTCAGGACTGTTTTCCTTGCCCGAAATGTCCCACAGCTTTTCAATGTATGAAACATTTTCAAATTTTCTATTAGAACCACTGACGAGATTCAAGCATTAAAACCAGTTTTGGGGGTGCATGAAGTATGCACTGCTTTGAAACATGGTACCAATTGTATTTTGGCACCCACATTTGAGCAATAGGTTGGCTTTAGCTACTGCAGAGCTTCGCATCGGCAACTTGCCAGTTGCGAGCATAAATGCTCGGCCACTTATGTGGAAGGGGAGCATCGAGCGGCTGAGATAAATGGTGAAAAGTCGTTCCCAAACCTGACTGTTATAGACAAAAAATAATGGGCGCGCAATAATATAGAAAACCTTGGAAACAATGTGTATGGATGTACTACAACCATAGAAAATAAGTTCAATCTAGATTACCAGTGATAATCAAGGTTCCCCTTTATGCTCACCCTGGGCAGAGCACACGTCAATATCTGCCTTGACTGTACTTGTCCCCGTGCACGTTTTCTTATTATAATACTGTTATACATGCTACTTTGAAACAAAGAATTTTATTTTACTAATTTGTTTCATTAAATTTTAAGCTCAATCATAAATTCCAGATTGTCCCCTTTCACATGGCAGTTTCAGACTCCCCATAATGACGCCATGCCAAACACCACCATTCGTAAAAATTTGTCCAGTGATGACAGAAAAGACAATCAAATGAAGGACCTTATACAGTTTTGGTGTAATTAAAGATAGATACCAAAAAAAAAAGAAGAAAAATCCTTCCTAGACAAAAACCAAAAAATTAGGCAGAATTTAAAAAAAAAATAGAATTGAAAAAGAAAAATTTAGTTATAAATGTCAAGGATAAACTTTATATGCAGTATTTAGTGAAAGTACAAAAATTGTTGCACGCCCCTATAAAAGGCCACAACACCCCCCCCCCCCTCTCCCCCCCAAAAATGTTTTTTTTGGGGGGTTTTTTGCCAGCCAATTTAATTGAAGTCAGGAGGCTACCCAATCAATATTTTGCTACAGAGTTTTGTAGATTTTTAATAAAGCCAAAAAACTCAACTGCTCAAAACCGAAAACGAAACACGAGCACGGAAGCTAATGGCCGGAAGTCAGGTGACTGCACCCAACCACATTCTTTTTTATCACCACCTCTTCGGCACTTGTAAAAGACGACGACAATGACGAAGTGGTAGGTACCGCTTGTCGTGAGATTATTTCGCACTTATATTTCTTCTGCTCTTTGTTCTGCGCTTAAAGGTAGATTGGCCGTTAACACAAACGAGTTGCCCCGTCATTTCGCCTCGAAAGCAAGTAACTTTCAGGTTTTTGCAGTGCACCTGGCCCACCAAAGCGAATATTTTGACGTTGAGTTTGAATTGTGCGTCATGACGCTCACCCATCTTGCTCGCGGATGCCATGTGAAAAACATAATGAGAAGAGTAAAGCTAAAAGGACTGCATAGTTTTTTTTTTTTTTCAGATCTCTCAGTCGCTTATTACTGCACATCGATGGATGCCGACAGACGCTTGTATTGGACCGTGGCTTGTGCATGATGGAACACTAGAACGCCGCTTTCATAATCGCGTCTTCTGACCACTGCAGAAGTTTTTAGACAGGGGAAGAATAGCAGACGGACGGAGGTGAAAATGGACATTGACGCGCAGCTTTCGTGTCAGCGTCTCACGGACATTGCAGACGGCGATAGACGGTGGTGAAATCGCAGACGATGCTGGAAGCTGCCGCGCATCTGCTTGCACAACTAGCGGGCAGAGTCAGACGCCAGACTAGATGCACCGGATGTCGCGAAAGGGAGACACACTCTGCCCATTTCCACCTCAAGAACTGTAGTAAAACAAGTCCAGTTCCTTCTGGAGCATTACTAATTTCCCCCTCTATGTGGATAATCAAGATATATGTAGGTGAATTTTACCATAGAATACCGCGCATTCACCCATTCTGCACTAAGTGCCTATTCACAAATTTGTAAGATCTGGAAAAATACGTACAGTACATTAATATGTCCATTTCATGACCGGACAAGCGCCTATTCCCCATTCTTCCGCGATTGTCTTCAAATTTTGAGTGGGTGCTTGCCCGGTATTTTACGGTAGATTATGTATATGTTACATTGTCAAGACATACACGTGCCAAAAGCATGGCTTTTTTCCCCGACAACCAAATTTCGCAAGAACTACTTTGCGCTGCGTATGAACAGTGTGCAAAACTTGCTTTCTTCTTGAGGTGAAAACGGGTATAGGCTCAGTTTGTTTGGTCGAGTAGCCAAGTCAGTCCAGTAGTAATGAGCGGGGCTAGAGATTTGTGGGCAGAGCTTAGAGTGGACCATGAGCTTCACCTATATTGTGTCTAATGACAAATATTGCACAAAAAAATATTTTCTTGGTGGCAAAATATTTTTTTTAAATTGTGTCCCAACTAAGTTGTTCTTTTTTTTTTTTTAAATTGCAGTGTTATTTTAAGGAGACGCTTCTGGCCACCAGAAAGTGGGGCGGACTGACGTCACTCACGCCATGAATACAGAAGAAATAAAGCAATGTGCAGTAAAACAGATGGGTCAGCAAAACTAAAAAGAAAACAAATAAAGCAAACAGAACAAAATTGTAACTCAACGACGAGCTAGAAAAGCACAGACGCAGAATACTCCTCCCGGCAAGAAGCAGACGCAAACACCGTCCTCGTTCGTCGCAAGGCCCGAAAGAAAACTGCTAGAGCTGTATAACTACAGAGTGCTCGTGCCACAGCGGGGCTGGCGTACACCCCGGAGGTGGTGATCTTCCGAGGACGAGAGGCGAGGCGCCACTCACGTGCCCCTGAAGGCCTCGACGTGATGCACGTGGCGCTGCCTGCTGGCCGCCCTCCCCGCCGCCGTGTTCAGCAGCAGGTCCAGCTCCGAGGCGAGCATGGGCGCAAACTTGTCCGCACGCTCTCCGGAGTCCTCGTCGAACGGCACGCACAGGTAGGGGAACACCCCGTGCACGTGCAGGCATGCCTTCTGCCCTGCACACGGAAACGGCCGACCCACCATGCAGAAGCAAAAGTTCAAGGATGACCAATCGTCCACTCAGCGCACCGCCAGCATTTCTTTAAGTGCCTTTTTTTAATGCCCTGGGCAGCGGTGCACTGTACTTTGAAAAGAATGCAAATAAAAGCGCAAGATACAGGACGACAAAATGAAGTTGAGCAAAAATATTCTTGTTAATAAATGTAGTGTTGCGTGTCTTTCGCAGGCATGTCACTGAGCAGGTGGGCCCACCTGCATCAAAATAGAAAGTGTCGCGGCAGTTGAAGTTCCACCCAGATAACACGCGAAACCTCGGTGCCTTTAACAACCCCTGAACAATCGGCAGAACCACGCAAAAATTGGTGCAGGAAATGCAGATCACGTTCGATTTATCCAACATGCAGAGACGACAGAGCGCCAGAAGAGAATCGTGGCTCTTGGTTTTGGGGGGGGGGGGGGGGGGGGGGGGGCAAAGACGGGAGTGGAGCATGGCAAATCAGAAGCTCTGGCACACCACCTGCTAGATAACGACGGCATAGTGCTCGATTTTCTATGTCTCCTACCAGACACCACTGCAGGGCAGAGATTGGACACTAGTGCTCAGTTGGGGGCTTGCGTTCTCAACATCCGAAGACAAGTCCCAGCCAAGTGCTGAGCCAACACTCGTGTCCAATCTATGCAGACCTCTGGCAGACGACGTGAAAAACCCAGCACTACAGCCGTCATCCGGGAGGTATTGGCCGAAGTTGAGGTTTAAAGACAGAAGCGAAGATACCGAGAGAACGAGCAGAAAAGAGAGCGGTGGAAGAGCTGAAAAAGAAAGCAGACGCATTAGGGTGGGAGTGTCATGCCACGCATTCGAGTTGTGTGATTTCCTGTCAACTTTAGTTTTGCTTCGTACAGTGCACGACAATGGTGCTTTCTTGTAAAATAAAGCTAAGACACTAAGTACCGACATTTCAGGTGCCATTCTGTTGCTTTTTCGCTTTATTAAAGCCTCGTCGGCAATCTGGGCCCACCAGTACCCCCAATGACTGCCTTTATGATCTGCCATTCAGAGGCAACCAAAAAGCATGAAAAGATGGGATAGGTTTGTCCTAGATGGCAGACCTTTTCCTCTAGATTGGTCCGGTGAACACAATGGCTGGGGTGGACCAAAACTGATCGAAGCCGCTTCAAACGGTCAGCTAAAAAATTATTTTGTTGAGTAGGAGGCCGTAGCTTTATCCAGACAGTGCAGTAAATACAGTGAGATTATGTGCTTGGTTTTGTGAAAAATAGAAGGATGAAGTTCAGCATATTTCTTGTCAAAGTAAAACACTACTTGCAGAGTGCAGGCACCTTTGATGAAGAAAAAAGAAGTCCTTTCACTCTTTTGTCAAGTCAGATATTCCAATGGGCCAGAGCTATGCTTGTTTAGTTTGGTACTAAAAATAAATAATGACACATCTCTTTTTGGGAAAGGTTCAAGATTTATTTTTGACTTTTTATTGAGATAACTGCTCATCCTTTTACTTTTGACACGGAACAAGTGCTCCCTCTGCTGTATAATTTGCAGCAAACTACCACTCCCTACTTTGTAAAATTCCTTTTACTGTTTCAGTTTCAAGTGGGTTTCATCAATTTTGGCTCACCCCATATTTGACAAGAATACATATACATCTTTGTGTCCTTCTGAGACATAGCTTAGAGTTAAACAATGTAGGCTGATCTTTGTTCCTTGCATGTTTTGGAATATTAGAACGAATGAAGAGCCATTAAATACCTACATTAAAATTTATAGGAAACCCCAAAGGTGGAGTAGATTTCTCACAGAATAAATGGATATTTTCACCTACTATAGACCATTCCATTTAGCGCTCTCTAGACGGCACCATTTTGTTCAACCGCAGCGCCCTCTCCACACATCCGGGAAGTTCAGCGGGTTCGGCGAGGTAAAACGAGAAAGAGGGCACGCGTCAGACTCCCCTAGCAGACGACAAACCGGGAGGTTGCCGTTCTCCATCTTTGGGCTGTATCGGCGGGCAGTACGGAACATCGAACTCTCGCTCGTGGCTGCCGTTGTGAAGTGGTTCGCGTTCTTAGAATAGTAGTGGCTACTCCAAAATCAGCCTATAGCTCTCTGTTGTTCTATTTCGCTAAATGATAAACTAACATATCCCTTTTTCGTTACTTAAATAGCAGTTGAGTCAGCCGGCAGTACTACCATCAACTACTGCGTGTATTGCGGCAGGAGAGCACGTTTTATTTATTATTTCAGACTTCCACTCTTGGTCACTGAAGGCCTACATGAGTACGAACTTAGTATAGTGAAAAAGGTACAGCAGCCGGATTTACTTTTCGCCAAAGAGACCGGCCAATCTGACACAGTTTTCCCTATTTTTTTTTATTTGCACGCATGTAACAGCGCAATTGGACCCTGTGAGTCTTATTATTTAGCATAGTATTACACGACAACTGGCATACCAAAATCTGCACGTCTGCGCTTGAAAGTTCCAAAATGATGCAATTTTAAACAGAGTTTGCACGCCAGCCGGACGCTAGCTACAGCCCACTCGGCGGAGCAGACGACGTCCGGGGTGAGAGGGGGAGTGCATTTTTTTTTCTCTTTTACCCTCTCTGCTATGACCCTAATGGAACGGTCAATAAATGAAGTGAAATTCGCACCGACAAGGCAATCGGCGAGCAACTGAAGAAAATATGCCCAATCCAGATTGATTTTGTTTGAACTGGACCAGGCACATTTTTTACTTTTACTATATATTGTCTAAACAATATTTAGAAAATACCTTAAAATGGTTTCCTATCACTTTAACAAATGAAATTTCATCATCAACAAAACTACTTTTTGATTAAAGCACTGTAGAATATCGGGAAATGTTTAGCTTTCTCTTTCGAATGATATAGTAGTAGTTTCCACTTGTCTCCCACCTTCCCTTCTCGTCGTATGGTTTTTAAGTGTTATTTATTTACTCTGCACGGTAACAGGTAACCAATCAGTTTTACGACGAGTAATCTCCTTGCTTTCCTAGTTTTGTGTTTGATGTAGTTGTATTTTTGCATCCTTCCTCCGCCTTCTTCGTGCCACGCGGCAGGCGAATTTGTTTGCTCCTTCAGCAGAGCAGAAGCTCCGATCGAAGGATACAAAATGTACTCAATTGCAGCGCCACCCGCTAATAATGGCAGTGGTTGCTTAGCCTCTTCTGCGGCTGTCAGAAATCCGCCGATTCCTTACGAGCAAGGACTCTGCCTTTGAGAAGGGGGAGAGGAAGTACTCCGAAGGGTGCATGGTTTTTGTCACCTGACGACTCCATTTCACCTTACAACGGACCACGGCGAATGTTCTGAGCCAACCTGGTCAATCCAGCGTCGCGAAAGACCTCTCCTGAAGGTCACGCAACGCTCGCACGGCATTCGACTCCAGCGGCGTGTAGCGCCCACCGGGGTTCGTCGTAAGGTGAGACGAAGTATGCCGGACATACTACGGCAAATTAAGAACTCGCAGTGGAGACGTCATTCGCTTCCCATCAAAGGGAATCGTGTCTGCGGGGACGGAGCTTTGTTGCACACTCCTCCCTCTTTCCTTCTCGCACCTCCTCTCTCGAGCGCAAAGTATGGTGCCTGAAATGCATCTCCGACCGGCGCGTTTACAGCGTCCCCAAACGTAGCTCCTCGATTTCCGTCCAACAACGTCGTGGAGGTGTCACGTCGTCGGCTGCTGCGGCTCCGGCGGTGGCGCGACGGCGAAGGTGGATGCGGCGGATGCCCACTCTGTTGCAGGTCGCCCTCCGGCTCGGTGGTTCATGGAAGCTTCCGCAGCACAGATTAGGGACGCCGCGATGACGCCTCGTCCTTTTTGCCGAAGCTGTTACGACCAACGACCAGTATCGCAACCTCCGACAATGTGGCGCACCAACACGACTTCACTCATTGCCGTTAAGGACCCTAAACACACCGGCCGAAACTGCATTCCGGGCACCACGTGCGGAGAGACGCATCATGGTCGACTCGCTCCCCGTGTACTTCTCGCTCCGCCGCCCCGGAGTTCTCGAGCTCGACTCACCGCCGGAGGTGACCCCGAAGATGCGTATGACGGGCACCTTCCAGACCTCCCATCCTCCCAGCCTGGAGAATCCGGGATCCAGCCGGGGCACCGGAGCTGCCAGGTAGTGGTCCACTGTCACTATGCGCAGCGAGAACATCGGGAGCCCTGGGTCTGGGGAGAGAAAAAAAAAGCCGGTTTCCTGTGGTGTCCTAGAGGTCCGCACGAGTATGGACCAACCCACGAGCCGGGATTAAGCTTCGCAATTACAATCGTGAAGGGCCCGGACACAAGCCAGCCATGATTTTTTTTATGTTTTTGGGAGGCTTGAGAGAGAGACCACAGTGGAAGTGACCTAAATTCTGAAGCATGTGTGTGTACCAACTGCTGTTACCAAGCACCAGCAGCACGGCGTTCATTTTCGTTGTCGGTGGCACCGCCGTCATAGAGTCTCCTCTCCCCATCAAGGACGCACCGACACAACATGCACCCTCGCAGGCGTAAACCATCTGTACGTATGAGTGCGTGTATCCCAAATATGCGTGGAGAGAATCCGCTTCAGTGAACGTAATTTCCTGGGGATGTTTTTCCTAACCAATTTCTCACACCACCGCAAGACACGGCGGTATTCTTTCAGTCGCTTTTTTTCAGTTGTGCGCGGCGGGAGTGGACGACCTAGAGCTTTGTTCATCTTTTGTCCAAACCTGTCGCAACGCATCCCTTTCTTTTAAACTTTTGCACACGGTTTTGTCAACTGTTGCTAGTCATTATTATTTTTTTATTCTTCTCGATACGCGGGTTTCGTCACAATTAGAAAAAGAGGACAGAGTGATCCTTTTATTTAAAGCCTGACATGCAGAAGTTTATTCTTCCCGGCAGAAAATTTCTCTTTTTCTTTGTTTCATTCTCATTGCTTTACGTACTTCTTGCATGCTAAGCGTCTAAGTGGCTTATAACCCCCAAACCTGAACAACAGGGATTAGTCTCACTGATAGGAAATGAACACCAAAAGGGGATACTGCCATCGCTTGACTCGGACAGCGCTGGCTCCCTCTTTCTTTCTTTTTTTCGTGGATCGCTCTTTATGTTATTTTCTGACGGGCTGACGAGTTTCTTTTTGGCAAAAACTATACTTCGTTCACCCCTAAGCTTGACAGTATGGTACAAGCTAGGTGCACGTCGGACCAGTCCTACGTCGGTCTTTCGCCACGTCATTATGCTTTCGCCCACGCGCATGCACAGGGAGCGGGGTCACGTGATGAAAAGAAAGCAGGAGATTAGTCTGGCCAACGCATAACTCCCGCCGCACTGTCAGCGCAGGGTGCGTTCTTACTTTCCCATTATGTGCCAAGCCAAGGTTCAGCGCCACGGTGTATGTTCAGGAGTGCAGATATGTCGCCGAAAACTGGCGACTCATGTGACGACGACTCTGCCATGTCTCTCCAAGGCACAGCAGAACCTTCATGAACATGATGAAAAATCGTGCACAAAAAGACAAAGAAAAAAGAAGGAACACAAAATGCAGACAGGTATGTTCCTTCCTCTTTTGTCCTTGTCTCTTTGTGTGCGATTTTTCATCATGTTTAATGTTTACCAACCAGCCCAGCTTACCCCTTTACAGAGCTTTCATCGTCATGGCACTTAGTGAATCATTTTTATTTTCAGCATTTGCTTCTTTTAGAAGACTGTCCAACACTGCTGCGCCAATTTCAGCAGGAAACACTAAGCTGATGCTGCACCGCAGTCTGCTCCTCTGACATGTGTATTCTTTGACGCCGTTGTCGTTAATTTTTTTTGTTCGAGAAAAACATGGAATGAGGGCTCAGAGACCTCAGCATTTGTTAGCGACTTTGTTTATGCGGCCACGTAATTTTGAGGATTTCACCAAGTATAAACTTAGCTAATATTTAGGGGGCACGACATTTTACGATTGGAAGTGGCTCGCCCTGCATTTTTAACCGCGAAATCCGCAACAATTGGTTTGTTTGCAAAAATTAACTTGTTTGTGTTTGACGCGGTTGCTGAGACAGTGAAGAACCATTATTCATTCTCTAAATAATAAAAAGCTAACAAAAAAGAAAACGGTGAGATTTTTAAAATACAAAACCTTGAAACGAAAAAAAAAGTCGACGTGAAGAAAAGAAGCTGCCGTTGACATTCTCTTTGCAGTAAGATACTTTCTAGACAGATGTTGATATGAACAAACAATGGGAGAAACCCAATGGGGAAAGCAGAGCATGCGAGAAGAATAGTGGCTCGGCTTTCTTGAGTTTTAGTTTATACACTGCGACGGGAGCAACGCACTCACCGGACCAGTCAGCCTCTTCCCTTCCATCGCCTGGTCCCATTCTCTGCAAGTAGGTATGGGGCAGCAGCGTAGTAACGTGGGGAAAGATGGGCGTATGACCTGTCCGACGAGTACATAGCTTCTACCGCTCTGTCGACTTAGCGTTGAATGGAGTATATGGTGCTCTTTGTGTACTTGAAATCCGAGGGTCAAAGTGAAGGGGTAGCTTCAGTGGGGAATGAACAAGGTGCGGGTTCTGCATTTCTTTGCAGGAATATTAACTGGCCGCAGGACTAGCCTTCTTCTAATCCTAAGCGGCGATGTGACAAGGAGGGTTTTTTCCTTCTTTCTTGTTGCAGGAAAAATGGCAAGAAGAGAAGGTCGGCGAGAGTTCCTTTTTTCTGCTCGTTGCTCGGCCTTTAATGCACTGCCTGGGCCTGCAGAATGGCCCGGCTTATAACAGCCGCAACGACCAAAAAAGAAGTATTCTTGCTGCGTGGGCTGTTGCGTAAATAAACATTTGAGGGTTGTGTGGATATTTAGACAGCGTGTAGTTGGTCAGCCAATTTAAAGTTGCGACGAGTCACTCGCTGTAGATGAGAAATTCAGCCAGCGCAGTACAACCACTAGCCTGGAATGCTCATCCAGATCGATGCTCATCCAGATCGAAACGGGCGGGGGTGCTATCGCTTACCATAGTGAACGTGTATAGCAGTGGCAAGTGATTTTGCCATGCCAGGCAACTCGTGAGCTCAGTTTCACACTGGGCAAAAATAGGGCGGACCTCGGCGAACCCGCGAAAATTAGGGCCGGGCCGGCTGTCAGAAATGAATGGCGGGCCACAGGCGGGCCCGGCATTCATTGCATGAGAGACAAAGGGGCCGGGCTGGGTGGAGCTCTTAAATATCAGCCCGTGCAGACCCCTACCACGTCACACAAACGGACTGAGGCGGCGCCCAAGGCACTGCACACCCTGGTGTATACAGACCACAGAGCCATTCCGAACTGCCATGTAAGCATTGGCAAATGTTCAAAGATCGCACTACCTTGCGATCTCGTAACTTCCCCCCTAAATTTAGCGGGGTAAACACAATGTCAAGTGACACGATGTCACATGACACGATGCGGCCATGGTGTCGCATGGTCGTGTAACATTATGCAACATCACAATTTCTCCACTAGATTTAGCGAAGATGTCCACCCGCTAAATTTATCGGGGAAATTTCTCCATTACACTAAACGGGCAAAAGATTTGCGACGCATCCGCGGTAAAACACCTTTAATAACAGCTGTTGCCGTAAAAGAGGACGTCGACCAGCAGCAGTGCAAAAGGCAACGGACATACACGATGCCTAGGTATCAAGGCCGTGATGCTGAATTTTCTGTCACCTACCAAAGGTCGGCACAGAGCACAGATGGGACACGAGAGCTACGTCACCGCTCGACTAGGACCCGTGTCCCAACCCCCCCGACTGAACACGAATTATAAATCAGTGCTGGCTGACAGGGCACGATAACAAACACGGAAACAGAGCAAAACAATCGATGACGAAAGGAATGACGGGCGGATACGGCGCTGCGGTTTCGAGCTTAGGAAGTCAGGGGCAATCACAGGCAGTGCGAGCCCTGGTGCTATGGGGAAGAGAGCCCAGGCAATGGTCTGCAGGGGGCAATGCATTTCTGCAGTCTTACATTAGAGGACCGTGCCAGCGTTTAAGGTAAGCCTCGACGTGATGGTATGGCATTTTGTTACCGATAAACCTTTGTGGATCTACAGAAGCAGCGGGTAAGAGTTTTCCTTAAAGTTTGTTAGAAAGAAGGATGCACGGTTGCCTTGATAAAATTGAATGCACGCAAGAAGCATGATACACAGCGTGCAGCCGACGTTACACGCAGCGACACGCTGATGACAAATGAAAGTGATTTCAAGCACATATGAAATAATTATGAATTAACCTTTTTTCTTTTTGGTGTTTTGTTACGGGGCTGCTTTTAGCGAAGTGCATTGGATAGCTAACAAAAGCAAGGTCAAAGACAGCAGAAGCACGGAGAGATAAACACAGAAGTTCCCAAGTCTTACCCCATGATGGACTAGTGTTATTTGCTGTCAAGGAGGTTGCAATCTTAAAACACCATGCAAGAAAGAAACCCACATGATAGACCGGTGTCCAGGGAGTCTATTTGATCTTTTGTGTACTCGAGTAAATATTTCATAAATATTTAGGCAACAGCTTTTCAAGTTAATAACGCGACCATCTGACAACAACCAATTGGAATAAGCCCAGGGCATTGATTATTCATAACCTGTTTCTCAAGAATTAAGAGGCAGATGGCTAACATCCAACAAATTATAACAGTATTGGATCAAACAACTTTGCATTCAATTGTTCTGGCTTTCAATATTACTTAGACTTAAAGGAAATATTGTGAAGTGTGGCAATGGGTCCAGAAACACGGAAAAAACAGTAATCGGAATAGTAATACCAACTTGACAAACAAAGAACTGATAAATAATTTAAATTAAAACATGAAAATAAAAAGAAAGCCTAAAGTGAAACTATTAATTAAGACCTTTATGAGTCATCAGTACCTAAAGTGATTGAATGTGTGAAATGACATGAAGAATGCACATATTTTGTGCCATTAATTTTTTCATTCATTTGTTTATTTTTTGTGCTCATGAACAGCTTTCGCCTTTTTAATGATGCATAATTAACACATAGCAAAAGGAACAATAATTCTACAAATCGACAAGAGAAAACTTGAACGCTACAAAAGATGGGTTAAAAACGTCCATGCAGGAAGCATCAAAAATATTATACAAGGTCTGAATGCGTGTCATGGGGTAGGTTTGGAAGAATTTATTTACACAAAATGGAAAGAAATT